GTTTCGAAATATTCTGTAGTCGCACGAAAATAATTTCATTACTTTCCAATAAGCGAATGGTGTAGCCGTCATAGTGCCACTGAAACCGTGTTCGAAATTCACATCCACACTGATGAAAATAATGGAGAATTCTTACAAATTAAAGCTGCCGGTAACCGAAAATTTCATATATGAATTCGGCGAATTTTTTTCACAAATCGTGACAGGGATATCAATTCATACAAAAAAGGGAAGATAATAAATTGTCATTTCTGTCATTAATGAAATATGTATTTTTCTACAAATATTTAATAAATTTTACTTAAAAAAAAAAAAGAAAATAATTTTAATCACAACAACAACTAATATCATCCTTTCATATCACAGTCAGTTTTCCTCTCACTGATCTTTTCATTCTTTTACCTTTTCATCCTGTCATCCCAAGTCGAGAACACGTAGCAGACTTTTTTTGTCTTCTGCGACAGCACAAGGCAATCGTCTTGAAAGAAGCACAAGACGCGGAATCCCTGTCGGATATTCGAGAACGAAGGATTTTCCTCAAGATGCTCCAGAGATTCTCCAGGCTTTTCTTGTTTCGTTCAATTAAACATTCTTCGCCATGAAAACATTTATCACCCGGTACGTTTCTTATGCCGACTGACTTAAACCAAGCCTAAATTACCTACCTAAATGGAGAACAATCAGTAGACCGACTAAAAAGGACATAAAATTAATCGAAAGGCAAAAATAATGTTTTTTTTTCTTATAACACTTGAAAAATTGTTCATTCAATTCTACGATAACGAAATTCATATTTTCCCGCGTTTTCCAAGCACGCAACTTAAACGTATTTTTGTATAATCCCGTCGAGTCTAGCGCAATTACTTTGGCATACAACATGCACGCGTGTTATTTTGCTCATACCACATGGCTAATATTTACATCCACCTCCCCTTTCGCCCTCCATTTTTTGGCATATGGTTCAACCTGCAAAATACAGTGAGTATATGACTGTCAGGTACGGATACACGAATCTGGACACAAAGCCTATCAAATACAAAATAAAATTCCCCAAAAAATCTAGATTCAAAAGTTAGGACCATTATGTTACGGCACTGGTACAGAAGTTTTACGAGTACAATTATATATTTGCATTACTATAACCTGACTATTAAATATATATAATCCTCTTGCTATTTGAAAATTACCCTATTTTCGGATGTCCTCCATTTGTTTATTATCAAAAAATAATAGCATCTCTTTGAAAAAAATTTCAATATCCGGGAATCGCCTAACCGGAAGAGCAGCAGTGTAAGAAATAATTTTTCCATATCGAATTGAAGCTACGATAAAACAAATAAAGATAATATAAAATACAGAGATAAGAATTTGTCAAAAAATGTACAGGAAGTGAACACGTAAAATACACAGCTAAAATGTCTCTGTATTTCCGTTACACCCCATGCCAACGCGTAGTTGCGTAATACGTATACACATAGCACATATATATCCTACTGTTTCCAACTGACCAGTCGGCGTAGCGGCAACGTAATAAAATAAAGCAGCATACGAGGATATAAGGCGGAATAGAAGGAAATAGATGTTCAGTAGGAGCTCTTGGCTGTTCCTTATAATCCGATTACCGTAGCCCGCTTTCAATTCTGCCGACACTATCGAACATATTGGAGATCGTCGACCTCTACCGATCTTCTTCGTCTCCTCGTCCTTCCTCCGGCAATCGACCTTCGCCCTAAGCCAGGCATTCTTGGTGATTTACTAAATCGCCCGCACGATTCTCTTGATAGGATATTTTTCCATGAGTAGAATCCACTATTCCTTGTTGCTAGCAGCCACTGTTGTCCCGATGATTTTTTCCAGCCCCAATGATATTATCCTCACTGATATATATATATAGACGTACAAAAAAAGAATTCCACAAAATTTTCAGGTCCCCAACGCAGTTATCTTACTTTTTCAGAAAGTTGCCCATGCGCTCGGATCCTCAAGATTAAACGGAAAAAAAACGCAACGATTGAACCTGTCGTATAGCTACAGTTCATTCGACGTAATTCTTTTATGTGGGCCCTTAGCGACCCATGAAAAAAAAAAAAAAAAAAAAAAAACCGGATTTAGAGGAATTCGTGAAAGTCATTGAAGCAAAGAAGAAAGGTCCAAAATTACACAAAGTACACCGGTCGGAGATAGGATGCTGTAAGGATCTCATAATTTAATTGAAGGGTGTAGGAGATTGCTTGTACGGTAACAATGCTCGGGATGATCCAGGTGCGTCGGTTCTCAATGAGCCTGAAATGTTTCAGATGTTTCTGATCGTTAAAACCATATACAATTCCATTGTACACGTGATACGTGAATTTAATGGATCCGAGGAGTTTCAAACCTCGCTACCTGCCCGAATGCGTAATAACCATAAGATTCTTGTAAAATGTCCACGCGGCCCAAGAGATTGAATTACATTCCTAGGTAAATCCTATTTACAAGGTAAATCCTATCCACGCATTTTCATAGGTGGTACATAGTCGTGGATTAATACGACGTTCAAGCCGTAAAAGCGAATGGACCAAGTTATTGCAACAATGCGGTGTAACAACACTAGGTAGTTTTACGATTATTCCATCTGGGATCCAGTAAAGCTTGGATACGTATACATGTATAAGCGAAAGGAATCGGAGAAGAGTGAACCGGGTGCATCCATCGATCGAGGAATTGGGGTTAAAGGTCCTACGTGGTTACTTAGACAAGGGGTTGAAACCGATTCTGTGTTAAATTAAGAGAGGAGGAGAGATTACGTAGCGTCTTTATTAGACGGCAGCGGGGTGCTTATGGGTTTGAAAAGGTAGGAGGAAGAGCCACGTGGTTAAGCGTCGGCGTCGGTACGCCTCCGTTGGAGAATATTTCTCAGGGGACTTTCCAGTCCTTTAGGCAACATAATACCGCGGGAGCCAGTAGGACGCGGCGTTAACGAGCGTGCAATTAATACCTGCGATGCTGTAATATCTGTAAAAGCGAGGCAATAATCCCTGGACTGTTCGGTTAAAGGCGAGAGACACCTTTACGGGGAGAAGATCGGATAGGTCGGGAAGCTATTAATAATTTTAATGCGCAACAATTTAAGTAAAAGCTTGCCCGAGATATCGTCCGCCCTAACTGAACGGCGAGGCGGGTCGCAGTTGTCAACCTTCTTTAATTTATACGCAGAAGCTTTTACATTATCGGCCTTGGTAAAAGTGCACCCTATAGAATTCGTTTAATGAGGATGGCATAAAGCCCTTTGCCAAGGACGATTCAGAAGGAACGTTGCCGACGATTGGAATTGGCTGCCGTTCAAGGAAACTTATGTTTCGCCATTCTTTTTCTCTTATATTTCATTTGCTTCTTATTCCCGTCCCTTCCGCTCTTCATATTCATACTTTTACTATCCCTCGTGGATTCCATACGGATATAGATACGTCTTTATCTATATATATATATATATGGAAAATGCGATTTTCTTCCTGAAGAAAGCCTTGGGGAGGAGCTAGTCGCATATCAATGGGATTGGAATATTTCCGTGAAAACCATAGAAAAGTCACAGAGAAAAGACGCGGAGGTCAGGTAAAAATGTCATCGCTGTAAGAAGATGAAGTCGGGCGAAGCGAGAGAGATGAGGAACGGTGACTTAATCAAGTATAGGTGGACCAAGTTTGTGGGTAAAGTCATCCGGCCGTATGGTGACATACAAAAGAAGAAAAAGCATATAGTAGGGTTGGGCGAGGTAAAAAGAAAAAAAAAAGAAAACTATTATACCCATTGGATAACATGGACTGTCAGAAACAAAGGTAACAGGAGTGGCGAGCACACGCATTGTCCTTGATCCTTTGGGATATCCGTCCGAGAAGGAAGCGACGTCATACTCGTACTCAGCAGTACCGTGCTAGGTCGATCCGTTGGTAAGAGAGGTTAGTGTCCCAATAGAAGTTCTGCCTACGTTTGCTAGTGGGTCTGGTTATTATATGAAAATCTCCAGGGAAATCCGAACGGCCGGACAAACAGAGTTGCGAGAGCTGCGACCAAATTCCGCCGGAGGTCTTGTCACCGTGGAGATAATTAATATCGTCCCCGGAGTGAGTCGCGCTGTACAAACATTTCGGAGCTACGTCAGGATACGTATCAAGGATAGTTGGTACCTATCAAGATAAGTTCAAGAATTTTTGTTAATAATATACCTAATCAATACATGAACTTATACAGGGTTAGTCAGTAGAAGCGCACCAACAGAAGTTGGCCGCAAGTGGCCGACACGGCAGTGTGGCCTCTTCAAAAAATGACATGTGACTGTGACCGATTCCCATAAGCGCAAACTGACAGTTCGCATGGCAATAAGGTTTTCGAAATATTTTAATAGTTAGGTTACTGAAATAATGAATTAACATTGTAATGACAAAATGTAATATCAGTTAAGATTTATTTTCACAACAGATTTTTTTGCTGTACTTTTTTGCTATAAAAACATTTCAATTAATTGATTTTTAATTTACATGCAGCATTGTATTGCAGAATTGCAGTTGTAATTATTAGTTGGAAAATATCAAAATTGTGAATATTTTAAGCTTTACATTGTTTTAATTGCAAACTGTTGTGAAAATAAATCTTAACTGATATTACATTTTGTCATTACAATGTTAATTCATTATTTCAGTAACCTAACTATTAAAATATTTCGAAAACCTTATTGCCATGCGAACTGTCAGTTTGCGCTTATGGGAATCGGTCACAGTCACATGTCATTTTTTGAAGAGGCCACACTGCCGTGTCGGCCACTTGCGGCCAACTTCTGCTGGTGCGTTTCTACTGACTAACCCTGTATAGCACGTACGAATGGGTTATCGTATACGGCAAGTATGTAAAATATTTGAGTAAGCTAGTAATAAAAATAAAACAGTCTGTATAGAGAGTGACCAAAAAATAAACTCCATGTAAACGTCCGTAAGGGACTTGTATATTGTATATATATGTATAGTCACCGAAACGTCCAGTTTGAAAGAAGATAATAAAAAAAATCCTTGGCATTCTCCATAGTGATTTGATATTGCCTTATGAGGATGCTGCTTCTGGGATACAAAAGAGAGTCTTTCGCACCGAATTCATTCACGGGTTCAGAGCCACCCCTACAGTGCCGCATATTGTCCCTGGAAGCAAGGCAAAGGTAAGACGCGTGTCCCGGTATATTGGCAATATCATGAATCCTTATCAACTATCTCCTTCGGACGGCGGAGGAGGTTCTCTTGCTTTAATAAAACGTACATAGTGTCTTGGATAAAGGGAACGCTTTATCACCTTTATGAATTCTGCAGCCGATCGTTTAAGCGATGCTTTCTCGCCCTTGAGGTAAGGGAAGGAGGAGGGGGGGGGAGAAAAAGAAAGGAGGGAGGTAGAGAGGAAAATGGACGTGGAAGAACGAAGGCGAAATCACCAGGGAAAATTGTGAATCCTGGCTACGGTAAGACGAGACGCGTCGTCCCTCGACGGTGCTGCCCTCCAGGCAAAGGAATCGGTATTTAACGGCTTGCGATTTACCATGTTGCCACATTACAAAAATTCTCCAACACAAAACCCATCCACTTAATGCCTGGCAATTCTCGGGACCTCCTGCGAATTATAAGACCGCTTCCTTTTACGAGTCCGGCGAGCTGCCGGAATATTACGCAAGAGCAGTGACTGATTACCTCGAGGGTGGCTATGTCTTATCTTATGCAGCAATTTGTCTGTCTTTCTTGGTGCGTTGCGGAACGGACATCCTTTCCTTAGCACTGGAATTCTTCCCATGGTGTTGCGTGAGACGGCAACGTATACATACGTTATCTCTACGCCAATGTGTCTGCCTATCAAGTTTCCCGGAGTTCTGAAAAAAAATAACCTAAAAGTAATCTAAGAAATATGTCAGGTTATACTCTATATACATTCAAGCTAGTCGGCATTACAGTCCAGGTGCTGAGTACACGTCGTAGACACACAATGAGCTCCTGGAAGAATTGTCACGTTAAATCTGTCTGTGCCAAAATGAAGAGACTCGGCAAGGTAACACGTATGAAAAACTTGAAGGTAACAATGAAATTTTGACATTAATAATCGAACAACTGTTAATCCAATAACAATGCCTTTATTAGAAGCGGTTCAATGGAGTCTACCATTGTCATGAGTGGGCTTACAAACTGGATTCCGATAATGTACAATCGATAACAACGTAATCGTGGTACATAACGTAAATGGCACCGTGTTCGTGTATCCGTTGTGTAATAGGTTTTGTATCAGTTGACTGTTATTCCTTAATGGCACCACTGTTGATTTTCATAACGAAACGAGCAACCAAGGTACGCTCGTGTTTAAAAACGAAACTAAATGCTGAATATTTGAAATAATTAAATAAAATACCGGATCAAATGTTTCCAATGATAGACATCGCTGAGCCTTAAGGTTACTCCTAGCCGGGATTAGGATTTTCCCTGCGCTGGGAGGCATCGCAGTCGAGGATTTGAATGGTAAACATGCCACTCGGAGGTTTCCAGCAAATGTCGGCCAGACTCGGGGGTCTAAGGTATAACCGGGAGTTCTGTTTGTTGACTCGTTAGCCAGCGATGTTCTGCATCCGACATTTCCTCTCTCTCCTCTCGTCTTCTCGTCATACACACACTTCCACTTCGTCTGTCCTCTCGAAGAACCCGTGACAACGTTTGCTCCGCGCACACGATATCTCGAACGCTTCGAGATCGAGAAAAAGCAGGCGGCCATGTGCATAACTTCGGTACGCTCGGAATAGAGGGCGCGCGATTCAAATGCACTCCGCGCGTACTGACAGGTTTTTCTGAAAGTTCGAGCCTCGTAAAACGTTATAGCGTGGGTCTGCACGTTTCAATAGAATTCGCGAAACCTTTCGGTTGTTTTCGTGAAAGGCAGGCGATCGTGCCGCGAATCGACTGGATGAGAGGCAGGTTTACAAGAATGAGAATCGAAAGGGCACTTGTGGTCGATAAAATTCTAACCTGTAACTCTGTATTCAAGTAAAAATACGAAGCCGTTCTAACCGACTTTAATTAAGCTTCCGGCTCGAGTGGAGCCTGCCAAAAGTGAAGTTACGGTATTGAAGGTATGTATACCTACCTAGCTGAGGATAGTTACGTAAGGTTTCTAAAGTCCTTCCGCAAAGCCGTCGATATTGCAGTTTAATTGGTTCTCGCGAGAGGGCATTATTCCGGAATATAGACAGCCTCCACTATCCAACCAACTACGTAGTAACAATGCTACGTTCTCCAGGCTTTGTTGTCTCGTCCCGGTGACCTGAGCGCGGACGGTCGACGCGACGAAATATGAAGCAATAAAAATTCATAGAGGCATTTCATGCTTCGCCGTTTAGATATATGACAAATGGCAGATATGGGATTTCACAAAGCGATACAGGACAGGCCACGCGTGCCTCCATACATATCGGATGCATATAAATCCGAGACGCTACATTCGAACTGGTTATTAACATTTTTATGGGCTCGCATTTTGTCTACCTGCCTACCGGATATTGGCGATTCTACAGTTTCGCAAGAGCCTCCTCAATTCGATGAAATCCTTCGCTGATACTATAAAAGACCAATGATCGTTCAGCTTCTTGACGTTTACGATATATATACATGCACCTCTATAATGATATACAGAGAATATCTATAGATATTATATCAATATCCTGCGAATGGTATTTTTGAAATTCATCAACCGTCTTATGGCTTAAATCCAAAACGATCTTGAAGAATACCACAAAAAATACGCATGCCATAACTCCTCGGAAGATGCCATCAGCAAATCTCGTTTAACCTTGCAAATCTACGACGGAGGAAGCTGTGGCAGAATTCGACGTTAGAAGCATGGTTTGTGCCATTTCAGTATAAAAGGTGGTCGTCCTAAGCAGCACTATGTATGCGGTCCGTAATATTACGGTTATACGATTTCAAGTATTGGCCCGGGCAATTCCAATAGCGCCAGAGATCGATATAAATTTTTGAAAAAAAAATAAATAAATAAAAAAAAGAGGACATCTGTTTTTCCAATGACTGCCCGTTCTGTGAAAAACTTATACGTATATAAACGTATATCTCGAGTGACTGTGTGACACAGGACAATGCTTCTTCGCGCGTTTCTATTGACACTGGAGAAACGTTCTCGACGAATTTCGACAGGAAGAACATAGATGGCGCCACTGTCGCGGGGTGACGTGACGTTTGCGTTCCGACATAAATGGAGTGACTGGCCTTCGGTCGAGCGTGCGAAAATTCCACTTGAAGCTGAAAGCTTTCTTTGTCACTAAACTTTACTCTGACAGTATAGATAAACGCGTGCCGATATCAGAAAATTGTGTTGCGGAGTGTGTCGCTTGGCAAATTGCAACGTTCGTTACTTTCACGGCAGAATTAGTAACGCCTAGTGAGAACCCGAGATCGGACTCGTTAATGCAACGAGCGCATTAGCAGTAAATCTCCGGTCCTGTTTTCCGAAACGCTCCCGGGATAACTTCCCGGGCATGAGACTGGATTAATTTCATTTTTCGTCCCCGTTATTCCAGGGTACGCGCCCGTACATCGTAAACTTTCGCGAAACTGCTCGCGTAAACGGAACGCCTAAATAATCGGCCGTTGGCGAATAAACGCTTGTTCGAACCGAAATAATTAGAAGGATTATGATGTACCGCAGTTGCAGCTTGCGCAATGCGTGCATTTCGACACGCTGTGTAATGATGACGTATAATGAAGGGACGTTGGAAAAGTTATCAATAAAAATGAGGAAACGGCGGAGAAGGAATGGCGAGGCGCTAGAGTGAGTAATTTAATAGAAAAAAAAAAGAGAAGAGGAATGAAAAATAAAAATTAGCCCGTAAAACGCACTACAAAACTAATCATACAGAAATTAAATGCGTACGAATAGGTTTCACTGACGTCCATGGAATCGTAGTTCCTGTTTTTCCCGTTGTGCGGCGCCGCTCGCCCATAAATATCCTCTCGGGTATCCTGATGTTCGGGTCATTAAGCATCCTTTGCTCGAAAATAAACAGACACGAAATAAAAGTGCAGGAGTTGTGTACGGGGCAAGTGAAATCGATAAATCATCTGGAGAATATAAGAAGAAAAAAAGAGATGAATGATATAAGAAACAGAACGATACAATTGCTACGTCTCAATAACCGGTAAGTTCGGCAAAAGTAGAATCCATATCGTCGCAGATGTATTTGTACTTTTCCTTCTCCTTGAATAGATTGTCTGAAATATTTCCGAGATACAAGGATCAGTCGAATACATTAAATTCTCTGGTGATCAATTCTCACGTACCTTCCCTCGCATCCATTTCCTTCAAAAAGGACTTTACGGTCTTCTCCGCCGTAATTGCCCGTTTCTCTGCCTCCTTCAGCTTGGCCTTCAGTTCTTTCAATTGCTTCTTAAACTCTTCGACTCTCTGATTGGCCTGTTTTATTTAGCAGCATAGACGTTCGTACATGGGAATAGGGAGAGACAGGGAGGAGTGGTAAAAATATAATTTTTTTTTTACACAAATTTTTCATATCTTTACCTTCTCCTCAGACACCTCCAGAGACTTCAGGATGTTCCCGACTATGAAGAGTTCATCCTCACGCTCAACGATCTTCCTGCAAGGCACGTTTCCATCAGTTGACCGAGGACTACAAGGACGAGCCAAACTCAGGTAAAAAAGATCACGTACGCCTCACTAGACTTAACACGATCCTCTGCAGCTTCAAGCTCGTCCTCGACGAAGGCCAGCTTCCTTGCGATCTCGTCGGACTTCGAATCGGCATCCTCCGCGATTAATCTTGCTTCCTTCAGCTGAGACGTCAGCTGATCCATCCGTTCCTCGTCCAATTTGCTTCTGTTTTCCAACACCTTGCAGATGCTAAACGGAAAAGAAATCCTTGAGATGCAAATAAACAGGGGGAAGCTTTATTGAGTACAAAGCTTTTAACTTGTAGGGTATTACGTGAAAATTGTATCGACAGCTTTAAATAACTTCATAACTGACCGTTTTGCGTCTTCGGCCGTTTCCGTCGCCTGACTCAATTTAGTCTGAGCTATCAAACGTCGCTCTTCCGTTTTTTCTAAAGTCGCCATACACTGCTGCATCTTACGATTTAATATCGCAAGCTCCGACTGTGCCTACGGTTATTTGTTTTTAATATTTTTTTGCTTTTCCTTTTTTTTTTTAGAAAAATTTTTTACTTCGCTTTTTTTTTTCACTCACCACCATGAACGCTCTCTCCTTCTGCTCCAAACTTGCGATCGACTTTTCCAACGAAGTTTTACTCACTTCGAAGTCGTGCTCCATCTGCACTAACTTTTTCTCCAAATCTCGTACCTCGTCACGAAGCCTTTCTTCGCGACGGTTCGCCTCCTTGGCCTGCAGATCGCAAGTGTCCGCTTTGTCCATTGCCAAGTCCTTTTCGACCTTGAGAGTTTGAAGACGCTTCTTGATTGCGTTCATGGTCGTTTCTTTTTTTCTTCTTATCTTTCCTCCGTCTTAATAATTATACCTGTTCTTGGTTAATTACTATTGAACAATTTAACGATAAAAAATTCTTTAAATATTTACCTTCGTAATTTAGCCGACAGGTATATCCGGTAATGTAAAATCTAATATTCGATATGATTAAAAATATAAAATTCAAGGTCAGGTAAATCTAAAGCTCGTATCTTTTTTTTTGTCGTCCGATCGATAACCGTTACGATAAATTACGGTCCTCGGCTGACTTTCGAATCTAATGCTCGCGGGTTACTGCACCTGATGACCGAACCGAGCATTGCTTTATAGACTCCGATAAAATGCAAAGGGAACGAAGCGTCTAGTTCTTTAGTTAGACACAAACGAATTCTTCGACTTCTTCAAGCGTCTCGAGACAGACCGTTCCTTACGCATGCATTCGCCGTACGTTATCATGCAGGTACGTGGCTCGTTACAAAAGTTTACCCAACTCCCGTTCTCCTTTCTAGGCCAACGAGCTTTTCCTGAATTTCCCATCCGCGTCGAGATCTCCCGGCGGAAAATTTTCAATTTCTATAAAATCGAGGGAATCCCCCTCCTAGTATAGAAACTTTACTACTCGTTCCAAGACTCGAAAGCAATGAACGTCCGTTTCGAGCGTGCCAATTATCAATGGCGAACATAGGTACAGTTCGCACTAAGATGCCGCAGTCAGTTTTATTTAATTAAAATAATTTTAATTGAAAATTCGTCTACTCGGACAAAGGAGGATTATTTCACGAGGAGTGTCGCGCGGTAACAGAGGGTTTTACAGGTACGGAATTTTTTTTCGTCGGATCCAGAATAAAGGTAAAAAAGAAACCCAGGCTAATTAACGCCCCTAAGGATCTCAGGGAATGAATTTTCAAAAGCTTCCGGCTGAATGGCATAGTTTATTGAAAGTGAGAATATACATGTAATCCGTGACGTTAGCGTCGCGGCTGTACAGAAAAATATATTGAGTCGCTGGTCGAGAGGCGGATGGACGCAGGATATCGATGGGCTTCTGAAAAATAAATGGCATTGTAAATCGATCGATCGCTAGGATCGACTTTGGCAAGTGTCATGCGAGTTATGGAAGCCATTGCATTGTGCATTTGGATGCGACCAGTCTGTGCGTCTTCCTAAGCGATAGCAATAGTGAACGGTTATTTTTAAGCGACGAAGCCCCGTTAAGGTATTTCCCCGGGAAACGGCCAAGAGGCGTGCAAGCCAAGAACCGAAATAAAAGCTCAATCGATTAACAGCGAATATAGAATAACAATAGCGCATAATGGAGTAGAAAATAAAGGATCATCTCGTTCTCTAATATCCAGTGAGTTCGGCGAACGTGGAGTCGAGGTCGTCGCAGATGGCTTTGTACTTTTCCTTCTCCTCGCGCAGCTCATCTATACGAGGAAGGTCAAGAGAGCAATTAATTTTTTGAAAATTTTTTTTACCTTTACATGAACATTTTTTTTTTCCTATTTTATTACCTTCCTTTATGTCCACCTCCTTCAGCAATTCCTTCACCGTCCTCTCTGCGGTAATGGCACGTTTCTCGGCCGCCTTTAGCTTTACCTTCAATGACTTCAGTTGTACCTTGAAGTCCTCCACTCGTTGATTCGCCTAAAACGTGGGTATTCGATGAGGTATGTTTAGGAAAAATTTGCAAAATAAAAAAATTTTTTTTTTTTTTTTTCCCAATGCACACAAACCTTTTCCTCGGAGACCTCGAGTGACTTGACGATATTTTGCACGATGAAGAGCTCGTCCTCGCGTTCGACAATTTTACTGAATGGTTAAAGATCGTTTTTTTTTTAAATTCTACCTCGGAGAGTCTATCTAATAAATGGACCGATGCTCAATTCACAAATACTAACGCTTCGCTGGTCTTTACTCTCTCCTCGGCTGCTTCGAGCTCCTCTTCAACGAACTGTAATTTCCTGGCGATTTCATCAGATTTCGCATCAGCATCTTCCGCGATCAATCTTGCATCCTTAAGCTCAGACATAAGCTTCTCCATACGCTCTTCGTCGAGTCTGCTCCTATCCTCGAGTACCTTGCACATTCTTTGAGAAAAGACCATTTTTTTAATTATAAAGAAATTTTTTTTTTGTAATGCTGGTAGAACCGAAACGACCTACGAACCTTCTTGCGTCGTCTGCAAGCTCAGATGCCCGCCCGAGCTTCTGCTGTGCCGACAAACGCAAATCTTCTTTCTTGTGGAGATTCGCTTCGATTTCCTGGACCTTTCTCGTCAACGTAGTCCTGTCTTGTTCAGCCTATTTGTTGTGAAATTTCAAAAAAAAAATTTTTATCAAAAATTTTTTTTACTTCTATACACATGCTCAAGTATTCACATGGATCTTACCTTGGTATATGACTTTTCACATTGCTCAAGATCCTTGGTGGATTGCTCGAGGTTCGTACTGGTAATATCATAATCGCGTTCCAGCTGGGCCAATTTTTTCTGGAGGTCACGAACCTCGTCGTAGAGCTTATCCGCCCTCATATTTTCCTGCTTAGCTTTCGTCTCGTTAACCTCGACCTTCTCATTGGCCGCATCCATTTCCAGCTTCAATGCTGCAATCTTCTTCTTGATCGCCTCCATTATGGAGTGTGCCTCGAGTACTTTTCTTTGAAGATACGAGAACCGCTTTCCTCCTCTGAAATACGGGTGACGCCAAGCTTTCTGTTCTCCTCCGAGTCTTTAATACAGAATACACGAAATTTTATTTAATTAAATTCGTGAAAATCACAGGTTTACGTATTTACACAATTTTAACCACTGCCTAAAATCAGAATTGCTTCGAGCTCGTAACGTGATTTCTTTTTTCATTTCAGATAATCAACGTGGAATATTATTTTTCGTGGAAATTAATTAAATTGCGTGCTGTTCGTTATATTTGAATTTTTTTTCAAATTTCGCGGGTAAACGCCATTTACATGGATGGAGGTCCCTACTTAATATTGACCTGGGATACTTTCCAGGATCGGTTCTGGGGTTGATACTTACTTTTGCCGGAGTTACGATTCGCGGGGAGAATGCACAACCGGATGCCTTCGGAAGCTAAGCCAAAATAAAACTAAATGATCGTGCAGGCCTCCTCGAACGCTTCGATCCAATCCAATTCTATAATTGCTTTGCAGTTTGGCTGTCGTCCCGATTTTCGCCTGGCTCTTCACTGGTCAACCCCCGTCACTGCACTGACTGGCCGAAATGCGATCTCCACCTTTACATGCTATTTTAGTCGAAAAGAATCTTGTTCCTGTTTCGTAGCGATGTAACCGACGCGCCATTGTAAACAATTTCACCTTAGTCGATTCAAAGATCGATCGCTGTTTGCATTTCCGATCGATTGATAAAACGTACTTGTAGATGAAAAACGTAAACTAGGGTTAATAATCCGAGGAGAAATATTTTTGAGCAAAATCTAGTTATCTAGTCAAAATTCATTTTTTGACATTTTTCGTCCTACGAGTGCTCCCCTTTCATAATGTAAAAAAATACGTTTTCCCATTATTTAAAGAAAATCAAGTTTGTCCGTTAATATTTCTATATTGATTTTTGGAAATTAAAAAACTTTAGACGCTGCTTCATTATTCTTTAAATTTTATCTTATACATACATTTTCGAAATTTCTTTACCTATTCAGTTTGCGAGCTCTGTTCTATCGACCTGTTGAATCGCTTAAAGTTTCCGCAATTCATCATCGTTCTCGTCAACTAATATTCAACTTTTGACTGATCGCTCTTCTCTTAAAACACGCAACATTTCCGGAAATACTTATAAGTTCTATATACTTTATCAAGAGGTTCGTTGTGGCGTAAGACATCAAATTTGCAATGCACAGAAGCCACCATTTTTGGTATATGTTTAAATAATAAATGATTCAAGACAATTCGATTGACTCGGGTTGTTAATTGTTAGGAAGCAAAAAAATATATATTCCCGAAAGCCTATTTCTAATTTTCTAATTTTCTAATTCTAACCTGGCAGTTGGAGATGCGCAGTAGAACCATTTTTCGCAACTGCGCAGCTATGACGATTAAATTAAGCTCTTATCTGATTCAGCAAATAGTCCTAGATCCAGCAAATTCCTCGGATTAATCAGCATAAACACGGTTTCAACACCAACAGGATCGATGTATAATATCAAAAATAATTTTTTTTTCCCATGATACATTGCAGATAAATTTTTTAATTCAAAATCTTTAATAAACACTCTTCCAAGAATGTAATATGTTTATTTTTTTTTTTACTATCTTCGTCATACAACTTTCACAGTATATAATAAGTACGCAAAGGAATGTAAGATACAGCGTTAAACAATTTTATTTCATTAGTGTGATTAATATATATTCGTTCGGAGACTTATAAAGTTCGCAATTATTTAAATTCATCATCAGGATTACACAGTGTTTGTAGAACGTACGAGTTCTGCGAATGACACATGTGTCTCATGCATGCGACAGACTTTTTAGGTATAAAAAGATTAATGTTATACGTATACGAGTACGCGTACATTTTCATTAATTATAAAAAAAAAGTAATAAAATTGTTAAGTATCACCATGACCGAAAAACAATATTTTCATGAATTATCTTAATAAAAATTATTTTTAAAAAATGTCTTGCGTGTAAACAAGAAGAGTCAATAATGTCATTATATTTTTTCAACAGTCTTTGCACCCGTAACAATTATTTGTTCTGAGCTTTATGACGTAATAATAAATATAAAATCAGTACTTTGAAAAAAATAATTCCTTCTGCATTTCTTTGTTTTTCATCGTACACATCAAATCACACGCAGTTAAATAAGAGGATGAAAAATCTTCAAGAATTTTGAATTAACGCAAAGTTTTGCATGACTCTTTTTGATTACAGCTGAAAATAAAAATTTATTTTAATAAATATTATTTAACGAGTAACAATAAGAAATATATTATTTCGATGCGATTAACCGAGCTTCCCCGAAATTAAATACAGAAATATAACATAATGTATATTATATAGACACAAACACACGTGCAACAATTTTTTAAACAAAAGCACAGATCCTATAAGACGGCCTTACGTGCAATTTACAGATATGCATGTATCTTATAAATTAATAAATAAATACGAACGCTTTTAATCGTTGTATTCATGAATAGACGTAGTAATCTTTATAAATGCAATATATACGTGATTCGCGTGAAAGATCATTTTTAAATTTCATAATAATAATATTTTTACTGACATTACTCAAATCAATCTACATCATAAGAGGTTTGAAACACAGAAATAAGACTGCATTACAAAATCTTTTCCCTTTGTCTAATGATAACAAGACATCTCACTTACAAAAATATTTCACAAACATTGACAGACGCATACAAAAAATTCTGACAAATTACTCGAAAAAGGATCTACGTTATTTTCAAAAAGTAGTAATTAAAAAATCAATAAAATAAGTCAGTATCATGAAACTCAGTCGGATCGATACTTGCATAAAATTTGTTTGGCACTTCGCCGCCGTTATGAATAAAAATTATAGAAACAGTATCGTCGCAGTGAATCTAACATGCTGTTAACTAGATAGGAAAAAGTGCATTTGCTGTCCAGACGTATAAAAAGAATTTTGACAATTCAGCAGAGATAGTTGTGCAAAAAGACGTTCAAAAAGTCCGAGCTACAAGTACGTCAATTCAAACTTGACATCCAGTTTGAAAATTCCTGCCAAGAGTGTCACTCGGTTATTTTATCCTTATAAGAAACTTTACGTCTATTTCATACTGATAGAAAAACAAGGATTCATTGCAAGCGACAATGTTAATTAATTATACACATTATTTGTATGCAATAATTAAATTTTTCTATCGACTAGTCAATGAAAATATTCGTGCGCATACAAAGTTCTCAGAACAGTTAACAAGATGAGTTACGCACGCTATTACAAAGCATCCTCTGACACAGGGCGGCGTAGCAGATTTTATTTCCTTCTTGTAAACCATGGAATTTCATAATAGGAATATATTAACGAACCACCGACAAATAACGTCTTTAACAGTCGTTAAACTCGTTCGAGAGGTTTTTTTCGGTTTTATCAATATAATTGATGCACACAATCAATAAATTTATATTTCAAAGCAAGTCAAAGGTCTATCTAAGGATATATCCGTCAGAGAATATTTTAGTAACTGATAAATTTGCCAATTACATAGATCATGTGTGACCATGAAAGCTAGTCTTTCGCTGCATAAAATATTATTTAATCATTTTAACGGCGTTAAAAAATATGGTAAATACCACATTACCAAACGTCAGACATTCGTTCATATTAACATACCATGGCCACACACGTCATTTTTCGTTTTAAATTTCAGGGCACAAAAAACCAGTCATATCTGAAGCTAACTTGACAAATTGCATTCCACTTTATCAGAAGGTCACACGCTATCTTCTTTATATCACATTATTTTCCTGTGAAAGTACATTACCTGTGGACTGCCTCAGCCTTACTGATAAGAACTTGAAAATCATTGGGCAAACACCCTTACAAACTGACCTGAAGTAGGATAACAAAGAGTTTTCACGCAACAGTATAGATCAAAGATCAACTAGCTAAGGCAAATAGTATAAGTGGCCTTATTGGCACTAGTAAATAATGAACAAACGGTGAATATGGCACATAGTGAAGGCGTTAATAACGATGATTAAAGTTAGAAAACACATTTTGCAACAGTCAATCGTATCGTAACGAGGTTGAAGGCAGCATTTGTGCGTTTTTTCTTCTTGATATTTACAAGCTAAAATTAAGTACGCGTGTAAAGGCAATATCTAAAGAGACGCGTTAATCTACCAATGGTACAAGTACATAACGAATGCCAAGTACATAACCATTCGCTCGATTAAAATAAGATAAAGAAAGAGAAGAGGTTTCACTAACGAATGGCTAGAGTGGACAATATTTTCATTAAAGATAAATAAGTGCGGAGAGCACAACGTAGCCGATCATATTACAGGCAGTGATAAAGAAAAATGTTACGCGTACATGAAAATCGTGTTAGCAAACACGGTCGAGAACCTTAACCCAAATTTCTAAAGAGCCTTGACTGAAGCCGTTTCTTCATATTAAGGTAAAAGCTACGGCATAGATTTAGCTATATTGATTAAAGGAAGGAATCAATTCAGCATGTTAATCGCAACTATCATCTACAATATTAGAATTATATAATTTTGAATTATTTCATCTTGGATCGAGCAACGAAAGATTATACTATAACCCCTGATATCACTATATTTCAATACCTTTTTGTGAGAAAAAAATAATGATGGAGACGATAGGTTTACAAGATTCCCATCGTTTCCGCTAATAATATTGTCTTCTGAGACTTTTAGACGTTAACTTAGCACGTAATACGTTAGACTGGGCGGAAACGGTAGTGCTTTCGCTAATTTGTAATATCCTTAAGGTGAATAAAATTCGATAGAAAAAACTAAAATGTACTGATCCAACGTTCTTTGGAGCAGCATCGTCATCTTGAGAGATTCGAACCAGTTTCAGAATCGACGGCCATTGACAGGATGAACGTAGGGGTATGCGTCAGTAACAAGTGCACGGCATCTTCACGGCCAAGAGCACGAAGTTGTCGGATGAGCGATCCCACCGTGCAATCTGTAGTTGCGCAATCGAACAATCTAAAAGAGAAATTGCTATTATTAATTATCAGATATGACACTGAGGTATTCCCTAATTTGACTGGAAGACTGATTATACTTTACCTTAAGGTTGGACTATTGACAGTGCTGTCCAATTGCGCAACGCGATCTCCCAGACCTAACCTCACAGCCAGGAGGCACCAGTCTCGTCCATGAGAATCAGGCGGATCAAGCATCTGCGCCAATCTTCTCTGTACTGCTGATTTAATGTGTTTTATAGGCAGCTTTGGTCCAGGAATAATATTATCCGCAAGAGGAAGGCCACACCCCACGGTATCCCAAATACTCTCTTGGCAGCCATTGAAAGGATTCTTGAAAGTAGATTCTTCCAAGCTTTTCTCCAGGAGGGAAGATAAAAACGTTGCTGGCTCCCATGAATGTATTACCTATAGGAGGAAAACGATGAATGTCAGGAGACAGTGACTTTTCCTTGGATATGATGTTGGTTACCTCGTCGTAATCTCGTAGTTGGCTAGGACTTAACCAATGCCTCTCGAGCAGCATACCCGGTGAAACAATTTCAATAGTTGCGTCCATAGCATCGAATACAACATTAAGTAATGTGGAACACTGAGCGCTCGTTCCTCTAGGACCTCGGACTCTTATTTCCACGTAACCCTGATCCTCTTCTTCGAGAGTTATTATAGTCTCGCATGCTCCAACACATAATTTTGATCCTCGCCACCACTGATAGAGATCTGAATCCTGAGGATCCCAGGTCTGCGTAGTCCTTCTCAGCTGAGCCTGATAAGATTTTGAAAAATGGTAAATAAACCTGTTTCAATATGTAATTATAGTATACGTATAAAACGTAATGATCAATCCCATCATTGAATTACCTGAAAATGAGGAAATATAGGTGATAGATGATACAAAGAAGCTTCTCCCGGACAAAGACGAACTCCTGCATGCGGAAAAGCATTTGGACAAGGTTTCCATGGTTCCCAAAGACCGGGAAGACGTTCTACCAAATTTAAGCATGGAATTTCAAATTCCACTTCATCGTCATCTACCTCGCACTGAAATATAGAGCAGCTACTTGTTTCGAAAATCTCAACGACAATTATACATATTGACGGAACTATCAACGATTTATACATACTGGAACACACAGGTTGACGGCTTGTAAAACTTGCAGAGCTTGACCAGCAGGACAAGGACACCGGGCTTGAAAGTCTTCCAACGTGTAAACTCCAGTGGTGCGTCCTCCAAGACGTCCTCTTTGTTCAGGACTCAATTGCCATCCTATTACATCTTTCCACAGCCAATCGAGACACAAAACAATGAGGTCACCAGGTAGAATCAAACACTCTCCAAGAGCCTAAAACGTTCAATATCAAATTCTTATTCGATACCATTCATCCCTGCCATCTCTAATTTAGTATAACAAAATCTAATATAAAACAAAGTACCTGCAGCTGTTGCGTAAGTATTTTACAATGCTCTAGAGAAACCAGAGGATTGATCTTCCTAACTTCCGTTATAAACTCATCAAAAGTAAACATCACCGGAGGGTCTTCTAGAGCCTGAATATAATTTCTCCAGGCTTCAGCAAGACCCGTCCACGCCAGGGCGCCCTGTAATAAAACACATTAAAATTAATAAATTCTTTTTATCGGACTATAAACAGATCTCACATCAATACGCAAGACTACAACAATGTGCGTTTCATTAAATTAATGCGTTGCATGATAAGATGCATACATAATTACGTATATATCTATACACATTAAAGGGACAATCCACAAAGCATCTACCAAAACATCGATCATTACATAACAAATTTAACAAAGGAAATGAGAAATATGATCGACCTGTTTATCAAGATTCGCCAGGGGCGCGTACATGGCCGCTGCACGCGACGTGTCACGTCGAAGAAAATATTCTCCGACTTCCGGTCCATCCTACATCATGCGTTGCATGCATTAAGGCTGTTGTCAGTACAACTCGACGACCAGACGAACAACACTAAGATATCTTAGCTCGCTCTTACATCGTTCCCTCAATTTATACAGGGTACACATATTCATCAAATATGAATTATATTGAAGTCACATAATTCAATGTCAACAAGGAAAAGTATTAATTTGTTAATATCGTATTAAAATAGAGGAAGATTTGATGCTTGTAAAAATCTCATGCATCTTTACATTACAAATATCGATGATCGACTCATGCCAAATTTGTTAGTTTTTAATGTAATAATAAGAAAGGAGTTTGTATATCCAATTCGATACTGCAAATACACTTACTGTGAGGACAGAAAGATCAATTAATTGGTGACAGAATCGATACTGTGATCGTATACGTGTATAACAGTTGCTTTAAGGCAGTGCCATTTCATCGAAACGAAACCATGGACAACCCTGTTTTCAAAAATACGTGTACCGAAACATGCTGCGACGCCGTGCATTTGCTGGCATATCTCAAAATCGATAAATATGGATAAGAGAGAACAAAGAGAAATGCGTATTAGCAAGAAATTATAATCATTAAATAAAATGAGATTGTAAAGCAGGTTAGATTATCAATATTTTCCTCATCTTGTAAGACACTCTTTACTTTTACGCGATTGATAATCGCTTGGATAATTGCAATAGTGGAAATATCTTCTTATAAATCCTTCTTTTAATAAGAACAATCAAAATTATACTTCACCTCCACAAACTCAGCTCGTGCGTTGTTTAAGTAGGATCGAAGTAGCTTTAGGCCTGGACTAGAAGGATTAGTAGCATCCAAAGCTACCATTTGAGGTTCATCCCCCAAAATTGATGTAAATTCTTGTAAAAACGGTAGTAGTGGCGAGAGTAAGTTTGTTCCATTTCCGCTTGGATTTGGTGATTCTGGTGCATAAGTGCCCACCAGGATTACCTTGACTTCGTTGAATCTACCAGCAAATCCTTGAAGGGAAGAATAAAATGCAAATTATTGAGAAAAATGTGAAGCCAATTTTTTTTATCAGCATCTCGTGCATTGTCTTACCAATATTATTTGGAGGAATGCGATCCAAGATAAAACGTAACCAAAATCTGGCCTGTTGCAGCTGAACTGTCAGAGGTTCTCTAAGACTGATAGTTATGAGATGCACAGCAGGTAGTTGAAATGTAAGTACATAGTGATAAGATGCTAGAAATTCTTCCCTGCCGCATAATTCCCAAAATACGCAGTCTCCTCCTGATGATATAAAGCATATAATTATTGTCATTTGTTAAAATGATTGCATGATAATAAATTTAACTGACCTGCATGCCCTCGAGTACATTCAACTCCTGGAGTTCCTTCGTACTCATTGTCACTATATTCAAAACTGAGTGAGCCATGTTTACTAGTTACATCCAGTTCAATGCTTAAATCCCTCTAAGAAGATTGAACAGAATCATGAGAATGTTCTCATAGTATAATACTCATTGTATGTAAAAAATGAATCACTGACTCACTTTAGGAGTATAATTTTGACTTCTGGATCGTCTAAAGAAGCCAAAACTGAAGATACCAGATTTCAAAGATCGAACAAGAGAAGATTTTCCTGAAGCGCAGTGCCCCAGGAGTCGAACATGAAGACGGTCAATGGGTCTCTGCGTAGGCTGAAGTTGACTTATAAAATTTTCTCTCTGTGTTGACTGCAATACAATTTCCATCAATTACGCAGTTGGAAACGCGGTACTTCAAACTTGGATAATGATAAACAGAACACCCACGTTTCTCAACTTGTCTAACAAGCTCGCAATATCCAGATGACCATACTTGATGGCCGTCACGTCGGCTCGGATTCCACGATTTGTTTTATCCACGTCACAACCTGCAAGGCACAAGAGTCTCACAAGATTTATGTGACCATGTCGGGCTGCCACGTGTAGTGGTGTAAGACCCTTTTCATTCGGGATATCCAATTCGGCACCATTTTCTATTAAAAGAGAAGCCATCTCCTCGTCGCCGGCTTCGCAGGCAATATGTAAAAGTGTATCACCTTCCTGAAATGCGATTAAGTGTTATTAACATATTTGAATAAAAATGATGATGATCAATAATTATAAATAGTACAATAAAGAATTACCAAATCCTTAGCATCCAACGGAGCACCTTGTTGAAGCAATTGGGAAACTGCTTCGACGCAACCGCGTCTTACGGCGCTGATCATTGCTCCTCCAAGACCTTGGGATCCTTCTGATTCCTAATTAATTAAATAAAGTTATCGAAACCTTAAAAGTTTGATTTGATGTCGCAAAACATTGTAGAGACAAGGAAATGCTGGCAGTCTTACTTTTGACAGTAACGGCTTACTTTGAGCGACGTTAATCCCAGATTAATCCCGTGAAGACGATTATTGTTACGGTTACTATTATTGTCATTGACATTGTATCATCTGTGTTGTACCTGATTTTATTTTGAAATTATGTTCTTTACATGCACGAATTTCTCGAGTGTATTTCTTTCGCAATGTTTTTAAAGCTTTTACGAAAATGCTTCCAATTGTTAAGGTGTTTGATTTTATTAAAGAAAAATATTTTCTCTACTAACTTATATGTGTATATTGTATCGAAAGTAATCCGTATTTATATATAATATATATATAAAATTACTTTACAAGGTGACTGGCATTAACGTCAATCATTACACTGTAACGAATACGTCACTCAGGTTTAGTGACAAAACGCGTGAATCGCAAGGAAGCATAACAATCTTAAGAATAACAATTGTTTAGATCTTGGCATCTGGAACGCACCGTCAGAATCCAAGGATGTTTAAGGCACGACTCCGCACTTCCTCTTCGCCTAAAAATTATGGAAGATAATAAGAGGTGTTACTTTTAAAACATATTTTATATTTATATTGTACTTCTTACCGTTAAGAACACTTTTGATAACTTACTTTGGGTCCTTGACGAGCAAGGATCTTATAAAATCCTTGGCAATTGCAGAAACTGTGTTAAAGTACTCTTTATCAAATTGATACTGGCATGCTGCAACGTTTGCATAAGTTTCCTGCTTATCGTCGCCTAGAAATGGAGATGCACCACTCAGCAAAATGTAAGTTAATACTCCGACTGCCCAAAGATCAGTTGCTAAACTTAATGGTTCGTAATTTACAATTTCTGGTGCGACGAATTCAGGAGTGCCAAACAATGCTCTATGCTCTGAGCCAGGAGCCAAACGATGAGACAAACCCAAATCTAAATAAAATATCCATGTAATTTTATAGAAAAATTGGAACTGCTATTGTGGATGACAGACATACCTATAAGTTTTATACTGGGCATCGGTGGTGGTGTAGAAAGAAGAATGTTTTCAGGCTTTATATCCAAGTGAGCCACATGATGGGAATGTAAATGACTTAATGCCATTAAAACTTGTCTTACTACATGCGCTGCTTCACTTTCACTTGATGGCGTCCAGTGGAATAATTCTCCGCCAGAGATCAATTCTAATAATAATACCACTGTTGTACCAGTATCTATGACTTTGTGCAAAGACACAATATTAGGATGCCTTAATCTTGCTAGGAGACCAGCTTCTCGAGCTAAAACAAATATATATTATATGATACACTATATACCTTTTGTGTTACAAGTTGTTTTTTAAACGAAATTCACCAATATCTGCTGCAGCCACACCCCTGGCTACCCTGCGTTTCCTCATAATTTTGGCAGCAAAAACATTCCCAGTTTTTATTTCCATACATTTTCGTACCACAGCAAACTGTCCTCTGTAAACGAAAAATGATAATCCACGTTGTGTAGATAGAAGCTCATTAAACTAATTAGAGTAAAAAAATAAATTGCACTAAGTGCTGCTAATAACAGTAAAAGTGACATACTTGCCAATCTCCTCCAACAATTCATAATGCTTTTCAATTGGCTCATGGTGAACCTCCATCAACGTGTCCCATTCAGGTCCTATTTAATATTTATAATCACACACTAATTAATTACCGAATAATTGCCACAATTATATGTTGAAAAAGGTAAAAGGAGATAAAAAGATATAATTATGTTCCCAATCACTCAGCATCAGTGTCATGAATTATCTAATCTCAGTTGTAAATTCAAATATTTGCATAGCGGCTAAATCACAAGACGATTGTTACTACGGAACATAAAAAACACCCAAAAATCTATAATATGATAACTGTCGTGTTGAATCGCGTAATATTTCCTTTATTGCGAAATGCTATAAAGAAAATATCTGCAAGAACTAAGCCCATAAAATTCAGCCGTCCTTGCAGTGATAATTTTGAAAGGATTCGCGACTAACCGGAAAATGTCAAACATCTGTCAAGCGGAGTGAATATATCCACATAGCAACAGGAAAGTACGAAAATTCAATAAAATTTACCACCGCTGGGAGTTCCCGTTTGACGAGAGGTGCCCGGCATCATCTCCCGTCCATTACGAATCTTTCATTTATCACCTTAGGCTGCGATTTTCCGCGAGACCGTTAGAAAAATAGTGGGATCTGTCGGCCTTTGGCATGCCGGCCACCCCGCACTACCCCTCACACAATCAATATATGCGACGCCACCTTCTCCTAGCAGACAACACATTCCTTTTGACGTTTCATTAAATGAATCTTTTTTTTATCAAGATTTTATTTTATAATCCATTTAAATATCACTTTATAACGCTTGGAATTATTCGTTTAGAGTTAACCGTTGGATTCCAATGTACGAGATACTGACTGCTTGCCAATAAACATTTAACCAAGGAAACCCTATCGGTTGCGAGGTATCTACACATTCAAAATCATTCTAAAATTGTATATTGTTACCACAATATTGTAGATATAAAAATAATGTTCACTTCCTGCTTTCAGTTATCGTTTCAAAATTACCCGACTTGGTGTCGGTCGCGGATACTTCTGTATGCTTCCTTTTTCAGTTCAATCAGCATAATAACGTTACCTTGAGTAGTGGATTGTGTGGGAAGGAAATTCCATGGATAATCATCCGCCTCTCACTTTAACGTTACATGCTCTGTTATAATGGGTTCGTAATAACTTTTCTTCTTGTGCATGGATTTCTAAAATCTTTTATTAATTCATTTCAGATATTTAATTACGATTATAGAAAAATAAGAATGTAAGGTATTTTTTTTTTAATATAAGAGAACAATACGCATATCAGATTTATAAACGCCGTTTTTTATTATTTGAAAATACGTGGTAACGTCTCAGCTGAAATGTGCTATGTGCTAACGCGAAATGAGTTGTAATAATAATTATAAGTTGGCATGATTAATGAAATTTAAGTTTAAAGCTAAGCAATACCAAGATTATAAAATTCAACGGATACAGGGTTAGTTAATATTTATTCCTTCATAGATTCTTCAGACACTTGACTGGGTTTTGGTGGTTCATTTTCAGCACCCTTTTTCTTAATTCCAGATACAATGTCGTCGATTCTCAGCAAAAGGATGGCTGTTTCGACGGCAGTCTTGTAGGTTTGAAGTTTTACTGTAAGAGGTTCCCAGATTCCTCGTTCTTGCATGTCTACGACTTTTCCAGTCTCACCGTCAATTCCCCAAGTCGTTCCTCCGGTAGCATGCTTGGCACGTAATGCAGTCAGAGTACGGATGGTATTTGCACCACAATTCTGTGCTAGAGTCCTGGGGATGATTTCAAGGGCCTGTGCCACAGCTTTGTATGGCCACTGTTCAACTCCTGCAAGACCTGCTGCCTTCTCACTGAGTAGCCGAGACACAGACATCTCTACTGCTCCTCCACCTGTATCAAATTTTAGAATAAATGATTCCGTATGTTTTGAATATAGTTTTTATATCTTACCTGGAACCAGTTTTGGTTCAATCAAAAGGTTCCTGGCTACATGAAGAGCATCTTGCAAGTTTCTCTCGGTTTCGTTCAGGACATCCTTACTGGCACCTCTTAAAATGATAGTACAAGCTTTTGGATCTTTGCACTCCGTAATAAAGCAGAAGTATTCATCTCCAATTTTCTTGATCTCAAAGAGCGCTGCTCCTGTTCCTACATCTTCTTCACGTAATTCTTCAGTACGATAGACAACTGTAGCACCACAAGCTCTGGCAATTCTGTTGTTATCAGATTTTCTAACTCTGCGAATAGCTGAAATTCCAGCTTTCAGTAAATAATGCTGTGCAAGGTCTGCTACTCCTTTCTCTGTGAAAACTACATCAGGCTTCACTGCTATAACGTCCTCGCAGACTTTTTTGATATACTCTTCTTCCAATTCAAGCATTCTGGTGAAATCAGTATCTTTAAGGATTTCAACGTTAGTTTGTGATTCTCCTTTCTTGTATTCCAATGGACAATCTAGGAGCACAATTCTGGGATTCTTGATATAACGTCTCATCTTAGGATGTGTCACATCTTTATTAATCATTACACCTTTGAGTACAGTGCTGTCCTCAATGCTGCCTCCTGGAAGTTTTTCCACTTTGGCATAACGTTTTATGTCAATTTCTCGTCGACCATTCTCCTCGAGCATCACTGTATGAACAGCATCCAAAGCAATGTCACAGACTAAATCAGACCAGCGTCCAATAAATTTAGTACCAACACAAGACTTTACAACTTGTGCCAACTTGGTTCTATCATTACGGTCTAGTTCAATACTGATTTGATCATTCAAGATTGCTACCATATCTTCCAAAGCTTGACGATAAGCTCGTATGATAACAGTAGGATGCATTCCTTGTTCAAGGAAAGGTTCAGCAGTAGCCAAAATCTCTCCAGCTAATACAATTACCGATGTAGTACCATCTCCTACTTCTTCATCCTGAGTTCTTGCAATCTCAATCATGGACTTTCCAGCTGGATGTTGTACCGTAATTTCACGAAGAATGGCATTTCCATCATTTGTCATGACAATACCACCCATGGGGTCCATCAACATCTTCAACATAGCTTGGGGACCAAGGCATGTTCTGATAACATCCGCTATTGCCTTTTAAGAAAATAAAATAACATTATACATAAACTTAATATATTTTAATAATTCATGAAAAAACAATTATATAAGCCATATATGGACATGTAATATGTGAGATACATGGAGGATGCAACCACACAATCTTGAAGAGTTCCATTTCCAAAAATGGAAATTAGTAATGTCAGAGGACTCAGCGTGGTGGCACGCCGGCAGCTTATTGAATTCTCGTAAGGAGTGGCTTCGTCGTCCACGTGGGTGGTTATCCACCTAAGGAATCCTTAAAAGGAAACTTCAAAACTCACCTTTGCAGCTTGAATATTTTCTTTCTGGACCTTTTTCCCGGAATCTCGTTTCGTATTCTGGCCTGCAATTGCGAGTGAGTACGACATCGTATAAATAAATAATTCAACAACTCCAAAAACAAATTAAGATCGCTAACTTGAGTTTCAACTCACTTAAAACCACAATCGGCGATGAGCCTGGACCAAACATTCTTCTGTCTGTAGTCTTTCTTAATTTCACTGAAATGAGTTAAAAACCACACCAAACTACCAAATTCACGCGTGACTGTTCTAGAAAAGAATGAAATCGGCATCCACCAATAGAAATTGGTTGAGCATTGTGCACTGATAAACTATACGTCTAGATAGTCGACATCATCGTTCGAGTCAGAGATGAGTAGGGAGACGCTCACACTACGGGCTCATTCCGACCGAAAGCAGCGGGAAGCGAGAAGCGAGCAGCGGAATCTTAGCTGTGAAAATACATTTTATGCCTTTTTATGTTAGCTAGTCGTATGAAAATACGAATAAATAAGTTATTTTACCTTCATTAAGTGTATGGAGTCAAGTATACTACATTAAAAATAGTAATACATAATTTCTCTTAAAACATAACTTCATTACTAAGTAGATTCCAATGCTTGGACTGTAATTTTGGAAAGTTGAAGAACGTTCAACTTTTCATAGCAGCGACATAATAAAAAGATTATGGCAACTCTACTTCACGTCATAGTTCATGTTTGAAATAAATTTTTAAATTCGGCATCAGACGAAATGTGTATAGCCCGTGGTATAGCCTCGTTATATGTTACATGCATGTAGTCTCCATTGTTACAATTTAACATCACGACCAATCACAATATGCCTGTGCGTATGTACGTTGGAAAGAGGTACAACACTATTGTAAAGTTTATTTGTGCATCTCTCTACTCATCTGTGTTAAAAGTGGCTCGACTTTTGGGACAGAATTAGTAGTGTCAGTTGCTGTTCTTAAAGCGCAAGTGTTCCAAACCTCACAATTGATGATTGACTGAAGAATATCCCGCGAGAAGAAGAAAGACGTAATTACCCTGTACAGAAGTCTAGCAAGTTCAATCATCCGAAAATAAATGAATAATATAAAATCAAGGCCAAATAAAAATCTCACAATGATCTCACAATAAATACGGAGTAGATTAAAGTTAAATTTATTCTTTATAAAATTTTAACAATGGTTACAATTAAAATTGAAATATAATCGTTATTTCATTAAATTTCTATATTAACACTTAGAAATCAAAAACCATAGCAAGAAATACTTAGAAGTATTGGAATTGCAAAATTTTTTGAGGCGCAGACTTGCTCTGATTGAGTTCCCGCGTATAAGTACTATGTCTGAAATTGTGTGGTATTTCAACTCCTTCTAGAACTTCTATGCTAGTTCTAGCATGTCTCCCGTTCCCATTGTGCGCACTAGTTGTCGGACACAAAGTCTCGCAAAGCTGACACTCGTTACTAGTATTTTCTCGATGTTAAAATACTAATTAATTTTTCGAAAAAATATCCTCCTTGCCGCGGCTTCTCCAGTTAATCATCAATCACAAGGGTTGTAACATTTGCGTTATGAGTGGCGGCAACTGACACTACCGGATCAGGTAGGTAAAAGATTTGGGCTCCTCTTCAATTAATTCAAGGTTCGGGTGTAACATAAAGTTTAGTTCATATGACTAAAATTGTTAACCCTAATGCAGAATTCATAAGCATACTTCTGTTTTATCGGTGAAGCGTAAATTTTTATTTTAATCGAGGAAGAACTTTCATTGTTAAATAATGAATGGCGCCAGCATTGAACGTCTTTTTTACAATGTAAAAGCAACAAAAAACGAATACTCTACCAAAGTGACAGGAGATGCAAAGTGAAACGTGTAATACGTTGCAGATCTTCTATAATTAAGAAAACCAAATGGAGGATATTAATGATAAGTTTTTCTACGTGTACAGTTCTTCCTTGGATACTAGGATACAGATAAAAATGTACGGATCATATATTTGTGTTTTACTGATTGACGCTTTAATGCTGACTAGATTAATATCGACGCATCTTGTCGACAATTCCAAGGAGAAACAGCTGTAGTTTCGAATAAGAAAAGATTGGAATAAAATATATACATGTCTAGTGAATAAAATGTCAGGGTTGCATGACAAAATATTAATTATTGGTACAATCATATACTTTTTAATCTGTTGTTTAATTATATCTCATCAGAAATGTTATCGTTTGCCAGAGGAACATTAGAGGGCAAAAGACAACGTCCTGAATATGATAAGCTGCTTCTGGATCCAATGCTAAAATATTCTGGTCTTTACGGAGCTGGTGGGGGTCGAGGAGATTTAGCAGCATCATTGCAAGTCTGGGCTGGTGGTCGCCCTCTTGCTCTGCCTATCTACACAGCATATAAGCATTTCACATCTCGCTGGAAGTATGAAACATTCTAATTATAACATTGTAGTAATCTTTGAATTATTGCTAAGTGATTAATGTATTTGTTTATAGTTGGAATCAATGGGTCACACTACCGATGTCCTACTCTGACCTGCCACGAGATGCTCAGCTCTGTGTTACTTTGTATGACTGTGCGGGACCTGGCAGACAAGTTCCCATTGGTGGCACGACAATTTCTTTTTTTGGAAAACATGGTGTATTCCGTCAGGGGATGCTGGATTTAAGAGTATGGCCGGGAGTGGAAGCAGATGGTTCTTATCCTACAACGACACCAGGCAAAGCTAGAGATCATGGAAAGGAGCAAATGCAACGATTAGCCAAGCTTGCTAAAAAGCACAGAAATGGTCAGATGAGTAAGGTTGATTGGTTGGACCGATTAACTTTCAGAGAAATTGAACTAATCAACGAGCGCGAGAAAAGAGCATCAGAATATCTCTATCTGATGCTGGAATTTCCTGAAGTCACAATGGATGGCGTCCCGGTATGAGAAATCTTAATTTTATTGAAATACATTGTCATTTGCCTTTGAAAACCTGATAATGAATGTTCGTAAAATGCTTGTATCAATTCCCCAGCCAAGATAGCTATCAGTTTAAATCTTATCGTTCCTAAATACTTTAAAGTAGATTTTGATATCTTCAAATATCGCGTACTATGAGATATATAATCATTTGATTTGATTACCGAGTTTTCTTGATTAATCAATCAGTAATAGTGAAGGAATTCACTGAGCAGAATGGATCTTGTAATTAATATTTAGTTTATTCATTATATATAAAAAATAATTGTTTACCAGAAATATTTAACATACCATTTTATTATAGATGTATTAGAGGTAGTAACTTGTTTATAAAGTAGACTGTTCAATATTTTTTTATTTCTGATATAGTACTCCATTGTCTATTACGAGAAGGATGGAGACGAAGTGGTCCAGCATAGATCACAACCAGACGTTGTTACTCTCCCGGATTATGAAATTCTGCAGGTAAGTATCGACGATACTTATATTAGAAGCACCATATAAATAAAGTCAAGAAATTCACAACACAAGTGTCACGTTACATTTAATTGAATAACTGTTTGTACACTAAGATAAACTTAGTACTTTATAGTCCTTTAACCTTGTAAGAACTATAGCATTAACACCATTTACCTAAATCTTGTCAAGGTTTAATTAAACTAATTAAGAAGCAGGGTTAGAGTGAACATTTCTTAAATGATACACAGTATAAGATCTAGTCTAATCTGAAGCCATAGTAGCTAAGATACTATTTACAAGTAACATGTTTAAATGGCTGACCAGTATACAGACAGTGTTCTCTCAACTTGCAAAAATAATACTTAAATATCTGTCAACGTGTTTCGAGGAATTATCAAAAGAAAGTATTTACAGTTTTTATTTCGTCTGCCGAGCAAGAAACTCTGGTCAGGTAACTCAGTGCAAATTTCAAGTATTAGTACTAATAACATAGCCATTCAAAATATAAGTATCATAAGAATTGACGTGTGTCTTAAAAAGATAATTAAAAATTTTTTAAAATATTTGTGACATAGGATTATGTTTTATCGCAGAAGTTCAAAACTTTCGAATAATGTCAGTGAGAAACATAATTATTAAGAGTGACAAGCAGATGTTCTTTGATGATTAATATACTTATACTTTTCTCAGGAAAATCTTGTAGAGGCCAAACATCATAAACTAGCACGTAGTCTACGTAGTGGTGGAAACACCCGGGAGTTAAAACCAACCTCCAGCGTGCGTGACGCTCTGAACACGATATTAGCCTATCCTCCAACAACAGCCCTCTCCACCGAGGAGCAAGATCTCATTTGGAAGTTCCGTTTTTATTTATCCAACCAGAAGAAGGCCTTAACCAAGTTTGTGAAATGCGTAAACTGGAAAGTAGCTGGAGAGGAACGTCAGGCCTTGGAAATGTTGGTACTCTGGGCACCACCAGATCCGGAAGACGCTTTGGAACTCCTGGGTCCGGCCTTTACACATCCTGCTGTGAGATGTTATGCGATCGCTCGTTTAAGTCAGGCACCTGACGACGATCTGATGCTGTATCTTCTGCAGCTGGTGCAAGCATTAAAGTATGAGAATTTTGAAAGCATAAAAGCTGCCAGTCAGTTGATTATCAAAGAAAAAGATTCTGATAAGAGTAATAAGTTTGATCGAGACTCGAGAGTCACTGATCATTCCTCCTCGACGCCTATGACAACGGTTAGTTCTTATCGTTATATTTTAAAAGAATCTGTGCTATGCAATTTTATTTTACAGTCAAGCGAATCAGAAACGGGAAACGCTCTGATGTCTAGTCAAGAATCTTCTATGGATCTGACGTCCTTCTTGATTACGAGAGCATGTCAAAATTCAATGCTGGCCAATTATTTCTATTGGTATCTTTTAATCGAATGCGAGGATCAAGCTGATCCTGCAATAACCGCCAAACAGGACACCCGTGTTCGTGAAATGTATATCACTGTAATGAATATGTTCTCAACGAAGTTGGCGCAAGGTAACGCTATCTGGCAGAAAAGGCGAGCATTTCTATCGCGACAGAAAATATTTATCGATCAGCTGGTGTCGCTTGTAAAAGCTGTTGCTAGAGAAAGTGGAAATCGAAAAAGAAAAACTGACAGACTCAGAGCCTTACTGGCCGACCCTGATCCAACTTTTAAAATCAACTTTTCGAACTTTGAACCTATACCCTTTCCACTTGATCCAGAGATTTGTATAAAGGGAATAATACCGGAAAAGTAAGAAACTTTGTTATTATTTAGTATTTCTCTTTTTTAGACACGAAGGGCATCGATTGATTAATATATTTTTAATTGCGTAGGGCCAGTCTATTTAAATCAGCACTTATGCCGTCGAAGCTGACTTTCTTAACTGCGGAAAATACGGAATATATTGCTATTTTTAAACATGGAGATGATCTACGACAGGATCAATTAATCTTGCAAACTATAGCACTAATGGATAAGCTACTTAGACGGGAAAACTTGGATTTAAAATTGACACCTTATAGGTAAAGATAACGTTGTACATAAAATTTATGTAATAGATTGCAAAAATTAATGACTTTATTTCTAACTTTTTTTTTGTAGGGTGTTGGCAACAAGTACGAGGCATGGATTTTTACAATTTATCGAATCTATAACTGTCGCTGAAGTATTAGCCAGCGAAGGTTCGATATTGAACTTTTTCCGAAAACATCATCCTTCGGAAACTGCTCCATACGGCGTAGCACCGGAAGTAATGGATACTTACGTACGAAGTTGTGGTAAGATTAACTTTGAAAATATCCGTATTTCTCCAAAATCATTAATTCACATGAAATCTTTCAGCTGGCTATTGTATCATAACATATGTCCTGGGCGTTGGTGATAGACACTTGGATAATCTACTTCTAACCACGTCAGGTATTATTTTAAAATACTACTCTCAAGTAATCCCTTTTTTTTCGCACTTTTAATCCAAGTCCTTTAGTAACTATTTATCCAGCTTAACTCAATTCTTTTGTTGTTTTGTATCTTGTGTGATTATGGGTTAACTACTATTCAAGTGACACAGAATCGTCTTCAAATTGAAATATCGAGAAATATTAAATACGTTATATTGAATTAAAATTTTCGTCCCCAGGAAAACTCTTCCACATAGACTTCGGCTATATATTGGGTAGAGATCCAAAACCGTTGCCGCCGCCAATGAAGTTATCAAAGGAAATGGTCGAAGCCATGGGCGGCGTCGGTTCAGAACATTATCATGAATTCCGGAAGCAGTGTTACACTGCCTTTTTGCATCTGAGAAGGCATGCTAATTTAATGCTAAACTTATTCTCCTTAATGGTGGATGCCAGTGTACCGGATATCGCATTGGAACCAGACAAGGCAGTTAAAAAGGTACAAGACAAACTACGATTGGATCTGAGCGACGAGGAAGCTGTGCACTATGTTCAAAATCTCTTGGATTTATCAGTAACTGCAGTGATGGCAGCGCTGGTAGAGCAACTACATAAATTCGCGCAATATTGGCGAAAATAATTAGCCGCTGATCATACCTGGGACTATTTCAAAGACTGTGTTCCTTAGTCATTCTCTGTATATTTCATGTACATAATGAACAATGCATCCATAAATGTAAAATAATTTATTGTATTTTGGGGATTATTTTAAATAATAATTATTTGATAAAAATTTCAAGCACTCTATCAAAGTTTCTTTATAATCCTCGTATCTCCTTTATTATAAAAGCAGGAACACCTTTAATAATTATATTAAACGTAACGTAACAATATATAAAAGCTGAAATCACTTCTACCAATCACTCTGCAAAGAATTATACAACTTTCTTCTTTCGGGTGAAATAGTTTATTCAAGTCGGGCTACCCCTAAGATTGAAAAGAGAACGTAGACATATCTGAATTGTACATAGGTAATTATCTGTTATGTAAATATTCGTATATTTATTTACTTCATAGTTACAATCGTGTATGTGGTGCACACTGTAGTAATTAAAAAATATTAATTGTTAGCGTTGAAAATATCAAATTAACGTTGATACAATTCATGGTAGCACTACATTATTCATCTATCGCTTGAATCTACCCCGTCATTCGTTAGTCAGCTTTCAGAAATAAAGAAAAGGCTATATTCACTTCGCGATAGACCAAGAACAAGAAGTATAATAATAAGAAGAAAAAAAGAAAGAAAAAAAAGCAGCAACTCTTTCTCCGACAATAATATAATTATGTATTCTGTTTTTCCCATAGATACGCTTGATGCCTTTTTCACTCTCTTACATGCAAAATGTGTGTGTATATATATTTATATATATAAAACAAAAAAGGAATTTAAAGAATGATTATAAGGAAACATTAACGATTTCAGTTCTTCGCCTTTATAAAATGCCTCGATGGGGGCGGTAGGGGCAGGGAGAAAAAGGAGGAGGGGATAGCAATCGAATTTGCATAATATTCTTACAATGCTTCTGGCTCTAATTAAAAGACGAATTGTAGCAATTTATAATTAACTTTTGTTTTGTCCCCGATTACATTATCAACATAATATGTACAAGCGTGACCATGATTAAAAACGCCACGAGAAATAAAAACATATATTTATTCTGAATAACATGAGACTATAAAGAATATAATTATTATCAGAAGATCGTAGGAAATCTGTCGCGTTTGAGGTGTAAGTGCGGGAAAGGCCAACGTTCGCGTGAAAAAGAAAAAAGAAGAAGAAAATGAATGCCTTTTTACGTGCGTGACATCGATAAAGAAAATGTCACGTCAAAGAAATCCTATTTACCGTTTATTTAATACTGAAAGATACGAATGATTTAATCGTTCCATGCGATTGATTCGAAGATTCGAAAAGGTTGAGCAACATCTTTTTATTATTTAATGGACTACGTAGTGTTTCTCGAGCTCTGTTTATCTCAAACGGGACGTCATTTCCTAGAATCTACGAAAACCTTTCGTCTTCTTCTTATGTTATCTCGTAACACACAGATTACACAGTGGCATACGTCAAATAATAGGCTTCTTTATTTTATTTTATTTTTTTTTTTCATAATCGTTTATAAGCTATTTTCTACAAACTAAATGCTAAGCGTAACGTGCACGATGCCCGATCCGCTCGATACTTGGAACGCGTTTCGAACATTTTCTTTATTATTATCTATCATCTTTCGTTCTCTCCTTTCACCATTGAATTGTCTAAGCCGAATAATAAAACACACTATTGATTAATTATTGGCTAGAAAGTCTTGAATTCGCAATGACGTATTACAAGAGTACTCGAGCGGAGGAAGAACCGTGCAAATTATCTGCACAAATAAGTCTTCAATCGGTAGCTTCGAATTCTTCGTTTTTTTAAATCGTAAATCGTTTTTTTTTTAAATCGTAAATTTTTTCTTGTTTTTGCTTTCGTTGAACGCATTTCGAACAAATTCGACAAATATACAATTGTGCTGTTCGAAGGGTCTACTTTATCGCTCGAGAGGTTACTTTATCAAAGAATCCAAAAGTCAGAAGAAAACGAAGAATCGATTCGCTACAACTTCAGATCTTAGAGTAGCAGTAAAATTAAACGGCGTGTTTGCCACGTAAATTTTTAGTTTCGATTCTCCTTAAAGATTCGCGACGGTGTAAAAATATTCTGAAAATCTTTCGAAGTGTCTTCACAATACCCGGAAAAGATCGTAGCGCGACCGTACGTGGTTATATTTTCTTTCAACTTAGGGGGTCAATCCCTTATGGATTTTAATAGAAATGAGACCCCTCCCCCCCAGTCATAAACTGTCTATCGCTCTACGACTTTAGATTATGTTACGCAACATCCCAAAGTGCACTTTCTTTAAATTTCTTTTCTTTCTTCTTCATTTAAAAGATTCACGATTTAAAAATCGCGTTCCGCAAATCTTACTACTACTCTAATGACTTTGACACAGGGTTGTGAAGTTGTCCGATATTAGTTAGTGAGAAATCGTGTAACGCACATGAGGGTTCAAACAAGGATATTAAAGTAATATGTTCTCCTTAATGTAATAACCATCAACTTGCACCCAGTCTTAAAAACCACATAGTAAACGATCATACAATCGTAATGTAATTTAAAAAAAAGAGCAATTGAAAAAAAAGAAAAGTCATTTACTGTACCGCAACGAAACCACATTCCTTCATAATCTACAATGTTTTTTTTTGTTGTTGTATGTATATAATATATCGCGTTTCTAACCACGGATTAGATCCGCATTCGATATATCTAGATATAAATTATAATAAGAATCTATTATTAGCCTTATATCTAACCACTTACTTACTTATACTTGTATTTACACTTGAAAATAGACTTAGTGCGTCCATTTATCATTTCCTATCTCGTGGGATAGTCCATTTTGTAACGAAAAAAAAAAACTGAATGACGAACAACTCTTCTTAACGGCGTTCGAAATCTTCTCTTTAACCCTGACCTGTTCAAATGATATATTACCTTTCTGCAGGCTTGGTAGCAGGCACCGAGCTCTCCACCAGGTCATGCCTCTCGATCGGGGAGTTGGCCAGGGTGTAGTCGACCGGATACCGTGCTGAGTAAGTCGGCGTAGCTTCACCCTGCTGTCTTAATCTCAGCTCATCGGCTGCTTCCTGGTAAAAGCTCTGCGAGGCCTCCACGTTCTGCGACGATCTCTCCGTCCTTTCCAGATCCTGCGACGAGTAATAACTCTGACTTGCTTCCGTTTCCGGTCTGGGATCGTAGTAACTGGGAGTTATGCTCTGGCTGGAATAACTTGGAGTAGCTTCCTCAGGATTAAAGTAACTTTGACTGGCCTCAGAGGTTATATCGCGTGGAGTAGACTCGTAGTAACTTGGGGTCACCTCTTCCTGGGGATCATCACCTTCCAGTCTAGAATTTGACTCTTGGTGAACGGACTCGTAATAACTAGCCGTTACCTCTTGGTGATGAGGATAGTAACTCGACGGCTCGTTCCTGTCGTCTGAGCTCTCCGTGACGAAGTTCTGCGATGACGTCTCCTCCAGTCCTGGCATCGAGATGGGAACCTCGTAGGAAGTTGAGACGTTCTGCTCCAAGATCACCTGATCCTCGTAGCTGGATGTTGGTACAGCGTCTATGTGCGTTGAGCTGCTGTCCGGATTTAGGTTGTAGGACGATGTTGGGATTTCCGGCACACCGTTGTCATGAATACTTGTATGTTCTCCTCCTACTGACGTATCCGGTATCACGCTTGACGAGGCAATATTTAATTCCTCGCAAGGCGGAATCTCATAGGACGACGTACTTATTGCACTCTCCTGATCCTGATCGCGTTCCTGGTTCTCTGGCGTTTCCGGAACGTAAGATGAACTTGCTGTTTCATCTTCGTTCACGCCAGAGTTATTGGTAGAGACCGAAGAGGTACCAATACCATCAGTACCAATGTCATTCGATTGGGAAGGCACGTTTCCTTCCTGGCTGATCTCTCCGTCTGTCTCCATGTTCTCTGAGACACTCTCAATTTTCTCCACCTCGTAGCTCTGGGTCGGGAAACTTTGATCGTCGACGGTACCGTCGACGGAGTTTCTGTCATCTTGGCTCTGCATGATTTCGTTGTACGACTGTGTAGGTGCGTTGGTCTGCTCTTCGGTCGATGCTTCATAAGACTGAGAAGCTTCACTCTGCTTGGCATCTTCAAAGGACTGCGTCGGTGGCTCCCCTGAACCTGGTGCTTCATCCGTTTCCATAGACGGGTAACCTTCAGACTGCGAAGGTTCTCTCGAATTCTCCAGCTTATTAGCAGATTGACTGGGAACCTCGATGGAATCGTTAGCCATTGCTACGTCGAATTGTTCATACGACTGAGACGGTGTTTCTTGACTAGTCTCAGCAATGGCTTTCTCAAAATGCATCTCTACATTATCGTCGATAGGCAGTTGTTTCGTCTCACCGTGAGACGATGGTTCGTCGACTTGAGATACCTCCATTGGCCCAGCTTTAGACTCCACGCACATTTCGGTCGGTTCAGCTGTTTTCACTTCCACAATGCCTTCTTGGGCACTACCCAATGTGTCTGAAGGCAAAGCTTGAGTAGGTACTAGATTTTCCTCTTCCTGGCGTGAAGCTGCTGCCTGATCCTCGACTGAACTAGGTGCCTGAGAGGTGGCTGGAGTGGGCTCTATCAGTTGCTCCAATTTGTTGCTGGTTTCTTTATCCTGGGATGTGCCTGATGGTATTTCAGCTGAATCTGCGACCTCAAGGCTCATTGTAGACTGGACCTTAATGTTTGATTCTGAACTCACTGAACAATTTTCATCTATTACAGGCATGCTGCTAGTGATCACTTCACTTGTATGTTGATCAATTGACATATCTTGTATACCTGTTAAGGGTTCCGCCTTGCTTATTACTTCTTGGTTGATTTCTTCCTGCGAAACCATTGGTATGTCATGATGTATTACTGAGTCTTCTTGTGTCGATACTGTAGGATGCTGCATCATCAGGTCTTCGCTAGTCATCTCAACCTCTTCTGAAGTCGCAGCTTGGATAACACTTGCAGTAGAAGCAGCTGACGTCTCAGTTTCTACACTTGGCTCCTGTGAAGTTGCTGGTACTTCTTGAGGTGTAGTAGCTATTTTAGAAGTGGCTGTTATGTCTTGTGGTGGTACGTTCTCAGTGGAAATTGTAGAAGCCTTCGAGACAAGCATTTCCGAAACAGACACATCGGCGAAACTTTGTTCACTGGCCATTGAGGTATCCATTGTTGCTGTAAACTGTGCGTCCTCTGAATAACTGTCGTCTATTATTGGCATTGATGGCGTTGTCTGTACTTGTGTTGTGTCCAGGACTATGTGCTCAGGTATCGAAACGGAATAAGAAACAGACGGAACAGATTCTGCTCCACTCTGGATACCTTGGGCTTCAATCGTTACATTCTCATCCAAATTCGGAATTACTAAATATTGAGTACTGACTGTACGCGTCATATCTGTCGCTGAACTCTCCATGATTTCACCAATATCTGGCATAGAGTTTCCAGGTATTTGGATTTGCGTGTCTCCAGCAGAGATGTACGAAATACTTGGATTAGTAATCGTAATAGGTAACTCGAGTGATGAAGGTATTGTGGAAACATCTGAAGCTGGAGTGCTTTCCGACTGGATGGACAAATTGCTGGGCACTTCCAGTGGTGTCATAATCGGTTGGTTCAGGGTCAAGGAAGTTTCCAGAACCGAAGGCGAAGATATCGGTTCTGTTGGGGGTATTATCGTGGATTGCAAAATGGTCTGATTGATAAGACTGGTTTGAGTGAGACCAGAGCTCATTACAGTTCCAGAAGAATTTTCAGGCAAGCCAATTTCCTGCTGGAAGTCTGTATTTGCTAGAGCGGCTGCTAGGATATCCTGGTTCGACGTCTGTATGATCTCTGACGATGGGAAACTCTCTGATACCATTGTCTGGTTGGATTCTGCGGTACTGGTCTGCAGGTTAGGCATGCAGCCGTTATCGAACTGCAGAACTATATTGTCCAGAGCTCCAGCTTCACCTAGAGAACTTGGATCAATATACAGAGTTCTAGTTCCGTCCGGATTTTGGGTTGTTCCTTCCAAAGACATCAAAGCGTTGTTATCCAATGGCTGAATCTGACCCTGCTCATCTATTGTGACCAGCACGTAAGTCTGGGTACCATCTCCACTCTCCGTTGGTAAAGCCATGATCTGCGGTTGAGCAGCAGCCACCTTGGGTTCTTCTATTTTATCCATGGGTATTTCAGTCGTTTGCTCCATCGCAGAAGCTACGGATTGTAGTCCTGGTTCCTCCTTCCGGATTTCAGGAACTTCCTCGACTTTTGTCTTCTTCTCTGGTTCTGTTGGTTCCAAAGGTGGAAGTGACAATGGCGTCGAGATAGTCGCACTTGATGGAGTGGTTACGTTTATGGAGTTCAGGGCAACGTTCAGCAAGTTCTTTGGTTGAGCATTCTTTGCGGATGCTGTGTAATTCTTCGTAGCAGCTTTAGGTGTTACGACACTTCCGGCGGAATGCTTTTGTTGAGCAACGGATTTTGTAACCGGAGGTATACTTGCAACAGTGCTAGTTTGCTTTTGTTGGAGATTCTGCACTGCTACTGGCGATTCGTGCAACTTTTGGACGACAATCTTTTGATTCTTCGACTGTCGTCCACTTCCTCTAGGCATGACGACCTTTTGTACTGTTGATGATCCTGGGATGACCTTTCCTTTAGTTTGAAGTTGCATATGCTGCGTTTGCTGTCCTGGACTCTGGGAAGATAAGGCTGGTACGGGCATTCCTTGTCCAACTGTTTGCTTCACTAACTTCTTTCCATGAAGTAAAGTCTTCTGTCCTGATACTGTGTTTTGGAGAACTATAGTACTTCCTGGTGATTTTATTGATCCTGCAACTCTCATTTGGGACGATGATGATGAAATCGGAATCTTCTGACATTTTTGTAGTAATGGTACTTGCATCTTTTGCGGGACTGTTGAATATTGAACTTTACCTCCCTTTGCAGGAGTCTTCGCTGCAATGGCTTTTACTTGTTGTGCAGTAATTGGTGTGAGCACTGTACCCTTTGAGGTGACGATACCTTGACTACTAAGGATAGTCTTTCCAGCAATGGTCTGTGTCATTGGACCTAGAATAGTTTTTGTTCCACCTAGACTTTGGGAAGTCAATGGTGACAAATATGTTGGACCTTTTGTAACTAACGCCTTAGAACCAATAATTGTTTTTCCTGCCAATGACGATGCACTTATAGGGGTATATATTCCTCCCTTGGTAAGAATTCCTTGCGATAAGGTACCCAACAAAGCTGACTTTGATATAGTACCTGAAATTGGGGTCAATACTCCTTTCGATGTTATTATACCTTGGGTGTTAATAATTTTCTGACTCTGTCCAGCCAATTTGGATGTTGTTGCTGTACCCGCTTCAGTTTTCGGAGCAATGACAGTTTTTGAGGTCATGATGCCTTGCGAAGAGATTGGAGAATATATTGTGCCTTTGCTGGTCATAATTCTTTGTACTTTGCCACCGAGGTTCTTAGAGATATTTAAAGGTAACATCTTTGTTTGACCTGATTGGGCTGACGTCAAAATCACCACCTTTCCACCTTGCTGAACTATTTGCGCGCTTCCAGCACCTTTACTAGAAGGAATAGCAATCTTCTGTTGACTTCCTGGTTTTCCCTGGACACTGTAGCGGATCTGTTTCCCTCCAGCAGTCTGCACGATCACATATTTCCCTGGTGCACTTTTCTGAGATATCAGAGGCGCCGCAGCCTTGCCAGGTTGAGTGTTTTGAAATTTTAAACCCTTTACTCCACCAGTAAGTGGAGGCACCAAGGTCTTAATATTTGTAATGGTAGGCTTAGCTTTAGCCTTATTCTTTAAGATAGTTGGTGTGCCACTTTTCTTTTTCGGTGTACTTTCAATTTCGTTTGACTTAAATTGTGTTTGATTGGGAGCGACAATTTGAGTTGTTGGTGTCAATGAAATAGTATTTGTAGCTATCGTGCTAGAAGATGGAATAATTGAGGATATTACAACTGGCATCTGCTCAAGATTCTCAGGAGTTAAAACGTCTTCACTCAAGACGAAAGGCATCGAATTGATATCTAATTCCATGTCTGCTAGACTTTGTGAACTCTGCTGAATGAATTTCTCACTTGGTACAGATGCCATACCTTGAGATGCCTGGGAAATTAATTTTTCTTTCTGCGTTTCCATAGCTGTGGTAGCAGCCTCCTCTGCTTTTAAAGCTTGAAGCTTTTTAGTAAGTGAAAGATGCGAAGTCGGAATTTTCACTTGCCTTCCCTTACTGTTTGGAGACAAAGGTTCAAGCTTCATAATCTTTGCTCGTGGGCTGCTCTTTGTATCGCCTCGTTTTGAGACATCCAATTCCAGCTTGTGTTTCTGGCCTTTAGCTGGCAATTTCTCCAGCAGTTTTGTCTTCAAGATCATTGGCTCTTTCAGTGTGACGTTTTCGATGATTCTTGGCTTCTCGCGTTTCTTTACTGGCATCCCGACATCGGATGTAGGTGAAGGTGTCGACACAGAAGACAATCTTGACGAGTCGTCCATCTTCTGTACTTCTAGAGTCAATGATTTTGTAATCTCCTCTATATTACCTGGTTGAACTTCACGCTTAGAGACAGGAACTTCCGGAGGAGTGGGAAGTTTTGCAGATACTGTTAAAGTAGGTTCATCTGTCTTTGCTTCAATTTCAATGTTTTCTTCAACAACAACTTCAACACCTTGGAACTCTCCCACTCCAGAGACATTAGTTTGTTCGTGAAGCTTGCTAGTATCTTCAGCACTCTCTATATTAGCAGCCACTTTCTCTGCTTTCTTAATTGGGCCAACAGTTTGCGTAACAGGTACGATGTTCACATTATCCATCTCGTCGGCCTTTTTCTTTCCAGGTTTCTTGACCTTTCCTCTACCAACGGTGATCTCGATGTCATCTATCACTACTTTATTGTCACGTTTGTCCATCTGCAACGTCTTCAGGAATGCCTCCTGGAAAGTGTTAACTGGTTTCTCTTCGCCATGTGAATCTTTGTCTTTCTTGGGTTTTGATCCAGTTTCAGGAGTAAATTTGCCTTTGTATCTTGTCTGCATGGAGGGCCTTTTTGCAGCTGGTTCTGGAGTTTTCACAGTTTCAGATTTTGAAACGAGCTCAATTTCCATCTCAGTTTTTGGTAATATTTTTTTCGGTCCTTCAAGTTTCAATTGTGTGTCTACATTTTCTTGTAATTCAGCACCTTTTTCCTTCTCTGCAAAAAACTCTCTTTCTATAGTCATGTCCGCCTGCTCAATAGGTACCTCCTCTATTACAGTCTCTTGCATTAGTTCAACAGTCTCAATTTTTTCCTCCAAGATTTCTGTGTCTTCAGTTGAAATTACTTGCTCTTCGATTACTGGTCCGCTAAATATCTCAGTAGACTCTTTATCTGTGTCAACTCTCGTAATCTCAATCTCCATGTCGTTAGTTTTGTCAATCCTGTTCTCTGGCTCTGGTTGTATAACATTCTTGTCTACGGAGGCGTCGCCCTCAAAAAAATCATTTTGCGCCAACTCAAACTTTTTGATTTGTGATTTTTTAGGCGGGAGCTTCTCCACTTCAGTTTTCGGAACTTCAAGCACCTGGTTTCCTTCAGCTTCTTTAATTAAATTCGCAACTTGTTCCTGTATCGATGGCGTTCTATCGTCATCATCCTTAATTCTATCTTCGTCCTCAAAGTCATCAGTTTGCTCTATTATTTCTCCTTGCCTCTCATCGATCTTCCATTTTGTCTCTGAAACTTTTGTCAATCGAGTACTCTCAGAGGAATGTTCTGAAAGTACTGTTGGTATACCTATTGTCTTTAGAACTTTATCCATGGATGGTCGATCGTCGTTTAATTTTTCGTCGGATTTGATCAGTTCGATTGTAGATCCTACTGAAGATTTCATCTCGTCAGATTTCTTCATTGTCGATGCTTTATTTCTACCAGCTTTCTGTTCTGATTTCTCTGCTCTATTGCCACCCATACTTTCCTCTACAACATCGGCAGTTCTATCAAGAGAATCAGATAATTCAATTTCCTGCTGATCCATCTGAATAACAGTCTCGATGGTCCTCTTACCGAATCTGGACGACTTTCTACTTCTAGCAGGTCTACGCTCAATTCTCTCACCATTTTCCTCGTCTGTTAATAATTTGTCATCTAGTTCCGATTGACTATCGTCAGTTTTCGATGCTGACGCGTCACTATTCTGAAGATAGATATCATATGAATATTTCCTGTTCGGTTTTCTCCTTCTTCCACTCAATGAACGTTCAGAATCGGACTCAGTAGTCTTACTGTTCTTGTCTTTTTCGATAATCATCTTAGTTCCCAGTTTTCTTTCTGGTGATTTGTTACTTGATTTTGATGAACTATCATCAACGCTGCTTACACTTGTTTCAGTAGAAGTTTTCTCAGAAACGAGACTCCTTCTAGGGCGCCCACGACGTTTCTTGACACTTTTATGAGCAGCGACTGGTTTTTCTACTGGCGACTTTTCAACTTTTTTTAAATTTCCCAAGATAGACTCGTTATCCATGTCCGTGTCATCAGACTGGTTCAAACCAAGCGGAGTCATATCAGTATCTGAAGTCTCACTGTGAGGAGGCGCAGTATCGGCTGATTCAGACACAGTTTCATCTTCCGTGTCTACTTCCATTTTCTCAGGAAGTGCCTCCAACTTGCTGGACTCCATCGTCTCCGAAACAACCTCATTTTCCATTTCTATTTTCTCTGAGGTGATATCCTTTTTTTCAATCGTCTCCTCATTCTTCGCAGAAGTTAAGGCCTCATCATCGGTTTTAGTGTATTCTTTATCAATATGTTTGACACCCGTAATGATGTTAGATATCAGTGCTTTGTTAAAATTTTTATTGGCAATCGCAGCGCGTTCGTCGTCGGCTTCCTCTTCACGTTCCACTTCGAAAATCTCAACTATCTCAACCTGAGTTTCGCAGGCATTTGAATTTACCTTTTCTCGCTCGTTCTTCGACGATGCTTTATCTTCCTTCGATTGTTTTTTTAATACGCTTATACCTTCCTCAGTTTCTAGCTTATTGGTTTCCTCGTCCATATCATCGTCCATCTTATTATCTTTATTTTCGTGTTCTTCAGGCGTTTCCTGAGTTCCGGATTTTGTGACAATGTCGTTCTTCTTGACTGTATCTTTTGTTTCTGTATTTTTGTCGTTGCTGAGGTCTTTTTCTTGCTCTTCCTTTAAGGCTTGACTCATTTCGAACTCTTTTATGATCTCCTTCTTTAGGGACAAACTTTTCTCACCGAAAACTCGGTGAATTTTTCTTACCGGCGGTATTGTAGCTTCGGGAACATCTTCTTCATCGAAATCAAAACAGGATAATCTTGACTTTTTGTCATCCTTCTCCATAAGCTTCTTACCGTCTTTCTGCAATTCGGGCTTTTTATTTTTCTGTCCTGAGAATGGTTTCTGATCCTTCTTCGTATCCTTGTCCTTTTCCATATTCGACTTGTTCTTTCCGGAATCATCAAGAATCTTGTTGTTCGAATTTCGACTGCGGACTCCAATAGTATCTTCTAGTACTTCGATGGCTGTCAACTTTTCAGTCTCATTGAGCAATTTTTCGGATTCCTGGATAATATCATCGTTTTCATTTTTCTGTTTGTCATCGCCAGGGCTAGTCGTATCCATTTGAGACTTCATGGGTGAACTGTCCACAGTGCCAGATTCCATAGACTTGTTTAAGTCCATACTCATGTCTTCGTCCGAGCTGTCGTTCCAATCAGCCAACAATTTCTCACGAATTTCAGGATCTGTCTTCTTTTTCTTCTTACTGGCTTTTTCGACTTGTTTTGCGAGTTTCCTTTTGCCCGACTCAGCGCTTCCTTCGCTGCGACTTTTGTGCGAACTACCCTTGTCCTTCCTAACATACTTCCTTTTCGGCGTATCGGTGTCAGCTTCTTTAGTCTTTGTTGGAGAATAAGTCTTTACCTTCGAACGTGCTACAGCTGGGGAACCTCCAGAATTGTGACTTTTGATGTGGCAAATAATAACATTCACGCGGGAGGAAGTAAAGCTGCATAGGTGACAAGGATATTGCGGTGATGATGTGCTGTTATTTGGAGTCGATGGCAGACTGCTGGGTTGATGACGGATTCTCACCTCGTGGTCACTTTCCCTTAGGAACCTTGGATGCGTGATTTTTCGCAGCATCTCACTGCCATCGCTACGTCTGTGAGCTTCATAACGATCACGTTTTTTCTTGGGTATCTTCTTCTCGCCAAAGAGCCCAGAAATATCTGGTTTTTCTTCAGGGCTGAACTTTTCACTTGTCAGGATATCCGGATCTCCGCCGGTCAGTTTTTCAGCCATTTCAATATCGCCAGGAAACTTATCCATATAACTAGCACCATCTCTGCTTTTAGTCCTGAATTTATCTATAATAAATTTACTCCAAATTAGATAAAAGTCAATGTTGATAGTTAAATGTTTTTTTCTTCTGTGAAACTTACCTAAGCCTTTTTTGATGAAATCTTCCTTCTGTGTGCAGTTATACTTGTAGATTTGCTGATAGTTCTTGACAAACTCACTAAAATGATATTTTTATATTAGAAGTTTTTGTATCATCTTATGTGGAAGTTATTACGAGAATATGAGTGCATGAAAAACTTACTATGTATCTTCTTGAAAGAATTTTACAGCAGCAATCAATGGTTTTTTTTGAAATTCTATTTGAATGTCTTCAGGCAAATTGTGAAGGCCAGTGACCTGTCCAGGCCACCAACAAGCTCCCAGTTTCACCCATACCACATCGCCATCCAAATAATTAATTTCTGTCTGTTCGCACATCTTGACTAGGTTCTTAGCCACGTTTATTCATAAAACTATTCTTGTAGTAACGGTATGTCGCAAAATCTTAGATATATCAGTAAGCATTTAAAACATTATTTGCATAGGCATCGTATTGTAGTAACAAAGTAACTCTATATATAGTATTCTATTAAAATCAAAAGATGTAAATTGCGTGCCTATTAGTACCACTACTAAAAACCAGAAAAAATATCTTGAAAGATATTGAATTCAATGGTTCCACGTTTAAACCAAAGACATTAAAGTTCTTCGTGAAATGTGAGATATAATTAATATTTTTTAAATATGACTTTAATCATTATGTATGTAATTCAGCTTTTTTACTTTTAACTCAGCACAATTTTTGCTTAGTGCTACCATCAAACTACGAGAGTCTACAAGCTATATTGTTCTTTTTAAACGCACAGTAGACTGCCGTCTCAGATCCTTAGAACATACATCCAAAGTGGCTGAAGCCTCAAACTGAATAGCTCAACGCAGCATTTCCAAGAGTTATCTATGGAAGCAAAATCGCAAAATTACTATTTAGAAAATTGTCCCGTTGATTCCTTTCAGCATTCCTTCACTCTCACTGTATACACTCCAAACGCATTAAGAAAGTCTTATTCCATACGTGCTTGGGTACCACCAGGATGTACAAAGCATGGAGTAACCAATAATAGGTGCAGCACAGAAAACTGTTGGTACACCTAGTGTAGAAAAGTAAGCCCTGTAGACGACGTAACAAGAATGTCCATCGGGATGATGGAGACGAGCGGGGGGGCTAGGTGCGTATTCGCGGGAAACCAACTCTGAAGTAGGCTCTTGCTGTGGCAGTGGCCTAGCACGGTGAGCATTGTATCCTGGATACCGTAATGTGAAGACTGGCAGACGGTTAAATAGCGTAATCCGTTCCGGTTCTTGCTACGACGCTCCCGTGGAAATTGGCGAGCGTCCCAGGAGGAAGGACGTCTTGGTTTGCTTGGCTCGGCTCCGTTCGGCTCGACTTCGGCTTTGGCTAGCCAGTGAACTTCTTGTAACGCGCACTTGCTCCCGTGCGACCACGACTTTGTGGCCACTGCGGAAAACGCGGCGGCGGCCGATCACAGATCAACCGACACTCGGCACTTTAACGCTTTCTGCCCGTTGTACGACGTACGTACATGTTTCGTTTCCCGAAGTGCAACGGGGCCCCTATGCTGGCTGGTGCGATGTATAGATGGATGCTTCCTTCTCTATCACCTCGAATATACTCCACTCTGTAGTCAGGCCTGCCAACCTTTCCTTGCCCTATCTTCTTTGAATTTTTCATACTGTTTCTCTTCTTTCTTTGTTCACTCTATACTGACTCTGCAACTATCTTCGTTTTCTTTCTTTTTTCGTTCTCTTTAACGCGCGCAAATTTCTCGATGCAGGTTAGACTCGTTTACTATGTTTTATTAGCTAGTCTAAGTTTAAATGAACGTGATAATGCACTAGTTTAAGCATACCTACGTTTTCTTCGCAGGCTATCTGGAATAATAGTATTCTGATTCGTGCCTCTTGTGAGAAGTCGATTAGTACCTGTTACAACAAATAATTAAGTAAATATCAATGAAGTGTTCATTAAGTAAATTATATCCATCGTGTATTACAATGTAACGTACAGAGCTGAGTTAACAGATGTAGTTTTGAGCCACTCGTACTTAAAATATCGTGATTCATTCAATTGATGTACATGCTTGTTGGGTAATGTTAACGACGAAAAAATGATAAAGTTATCAGGAAGACGTGTTCAATGGAGAATGGTTGAGAACCAAATAATATTAAGTATTTAGATTACACAGGCTGAACTTAACATTGTTTAATATTTTAAATTGTAAGAAGCATTGCTCCAATCTTGGAAACATATATATAAACATACAATGTGCATAATGCACACTATTCCTCAACTACGTTTCGGATCTTAAATATCATAACAAGACGCATAATAAAAATATGATTTTGCGTCGTGTCATTACTTTTTTAGCAATTGGTAGCACTGTGTCACCGGGTGGGTAAGCAGAAATGTAGTTCTTCTGGTTTGCTACTAGGGGCTCCGCCTTATCCTTATTGGTGTTTCATGTATACATCCGGTTTATATCGTGCTTCACGTACTTATAGTTTTTTATATATCAATTCTTCTCTTATATTCTTTATATCATATCTATATTTCGTCGCTATTTTCCGAGAGACAAACGTTTAATTAACAAAAGCTTCCAATCTTCGTGGCTACAAGCATACCGGAAGTTTCGTTTTTGTTGACGTTTTAGCGTTTCATTTCGTGCGTGTTCACCAATATTTTTAGAATGGCGACCGCAGTACCGTCTCGTTTTGCCGTTCTTAGTATTGACGACGACGATTACAAGCCGAAAAAGGCTCAAAAACCGGCCGGTAATGGGAAACCTAATCCTAAGAACAAGCAAGACAAGCAAAAGCAACAGCCTAAAAAAGAAGAGAAGAAAAAACAGAACAAGGTACTTCGCCGAGAGACTTTTCAACCGGTAAAACGTCAAACTCGAGACTACATATGGGCGGGAAAATTTAAAATTTGAGAGTGACAGAGTGAATATGAAATTGAATGGAGAAAGAAAATTGGGAGCTTTGTACTGTCTTGGTTGAATAAATAATTATTTATACAATATTATTTCTAGGGAAAGAAGAAGAAGAATAATGAAGATCAACAATGGGAACAGTGGAAACAAAAGGATTTGATGGTAACAATTAATGAATAATAATTTATTACATCTTTTTTAAGCTCTTGAGTAATACTGTTAAGCATTTATATATTTTGTTGTTACCCATTTCATACAAATACAGGTATATTAAAATATTACATATAAAAATGCAATGTCATATGTATCTCTTATTGCTTTTGCCTTACAGTATTAAAAATTAGTTCATGGATTTTTTTGTTTGTCCATGTGGCATAGAGTTAGTTACACACAGTAAAATTTTTTTAATTCAATTTACAGCATTCGTGGACCTATACAGTTATTACTTTTTAGATTCAAGTTGTACTATATAACATTTTGTTTCAGTAGTGAGCTATTTATATGTCTTGTGTTATCACGCGATATTGTGATTTCCTTAAGGCTGTTGAGGAAACATACGAGCAAGAGTTACATCAGGCAATTCTGCTGTCCCAGTTGACATACGAGGCCCAATTGGAGACATTAGGGAAATGTGACAAAGATGCAGAGCAATCTAAAAAGAGCCAAAGTAATAAAAAGACAAAGAAGGCCACAATGTCTTTAGAAGAGTTTAACAATATGGATGTAATTGCAACACAAAGCTCAGTACCACAGATAGAGAACGTTGATAATAAACAAAAAGGTATTTCGCATTAATAATCACTAAACGAAGTTACATTTTTTTTGTAATTAAAGAATGATGTTCTCTTTCTCTGATTTTGCAAATATAAATATGATGGGAATGTAGGTGACAGATGTTACAATTGCTGTAGAGTTAGATGCAGAGTTCTTCGAGAGAGTTGAGAAAGAAACCAAAGCAGAGATTACAAAAGGCAAAGAAAAGGATATGCTGAAGGCAAGGTTGAACCAGTTTGACGATGACATAACTGCTGCTCAGCTCAGGGTGGAATTGGAGAAGAGAGATGATCTAATACAACAACTACGAGATAAGGTTGAAGCGTTAAAGGTGGAGTTGACTCAGGTGAAGAAGAGGAACACAAAGCTTTATCAAATGTTATCGCAGGGAGAAAGTAATAATCTTTTAATATTCTATAAATAAATGGAAAGAAGAAATTAGTTATTTATCCTATCGCTCATTTTACAGTGAAAGACAAGGCGTCCGTTCTTGAGGAGGTAGCTGAACTTCAAGATATACGTGATGAATTGACTTCCGAAGTAGCTTCTCTTCATGCTCAATTGGAGCAGGAACGATCGAAAACTCGTGCCTCCAATGTCGATCCAAAGGCCACCAAACAACCCGTAAGACTTTAATTTTATATGTCATTATTTCATCACTCATTTTTTCTCGCACGTAGCACCTTTGCGCAACTAACATAAGTAGGTATTTATTTTAGCTTTTCTGGGAGCTTCGGTCAGCTTAATACTTAGTATTTAATTAACTTATCGATCAAAGATGTCGCATATTTAATACATGACCTTTCAGAGATTAATTGGTACTACGTGTTCAGTATGAACTCCTTTAGTCGGAAGATTAAAGATTCTAAAAACTATTTGCTTTAATTAAATAATAACAGTACACAGTTTTACGAAAAACATTTTAAAGAAGTTTAGATTTTGATAACAAAATTTGCTGAAACTGAAGAAATTATAGCTTAAAGCGTTAAGTTGTACATGTTTTTAAATTAAATTAAGGGATTATGCTATTTATTTATATTATTTATGATATAATATTTATTATATATACTTATGATATAAACTTATTTGTTCCCAGAACAAGAGAAGGCCGAACAATGAAAATGCCTAAGTCACTGATCTTTCACGATATAAGTATGATCATATTGTAATTCAAATAGTGTTAACTATGTATAACGTGATAAAAATTACCTATTATCCATATAACACATTGGCTTACTAAGTTTCCACGTAGCAAATGTGCATTCATTTTTTAAAAGACATAAGTGAATTTTTTTTTATCCAACAACATACATTTCTATTCTCATAAAGAATCTCAGGAATATTAAGAATATTGTATTTGCGTTAAAAATTTTCTATCCGTGATCAGAACATCTGTTACGGAAAGTAAGCCAATGGGTGTAAAAAGACTTCAGTAAGACTATAAAGTAAGATATAAAAAGCATATTTCGTATTACCACTGTGCACGTGCCACAGTTTATATAAAACAGTATACGAGAGTGCTTCACCTTTGATAAAAACTTTGTCAACTTCAGTGAATTACTTTCTTGCATTATTCATACTTCGTAGAGAAAAACTGTACCTTTCTATAGACTTTCGGCACAAAAGTATACTGAGTAATTAATTTCTTTACATCGATACCCTAAATAGAGCAAGATAATAATACTTGTCAAGATATATAGAATAGCTGGTTTTCTAAGAGGCTTGCTCCCACTTTGCATATTCTTAAGTTTTTCATTTAACTAATTAACAAACAAATAGATTTTCTTAGTTTTTTTTGTTTTGTTCAATTTAAATGTCCATTAAAAATTACATAGTTATCGTTAATGCTCGGACTGGAAAGCTTGGCGACATTGGAGCATAAAATTGTCTTTGTCCTACGCAGTGCTTCCGTCCGGGTTCATTTTTATCAAGAAATATTGCTTTAAATATTTTGTAATAAACATGTTCTACGCAATATCCGACGTCTTTTCATTACAGTCCTCCCGAATTTCTCACGCGATCAAAATTCCAAGCCAGACGTATCGATACGTATCGTTAATCTTCTTAAACTTCCAGTTCTGACCATTTGTGAGTTTCCCACTAGGAATTCATTCAGCGCTAAGCTTCATCCGGATTATATATATTCGTGAACATTTTTACAGATATTTTTTACCAACTTTTTTCTGCGAATTTCTCCTCTCCATCCCCTTGGGAGCGGTTCAATATTGTACATTGCGTATTCCATTTACTCGCAGTACATTTTGGTCATCCGTAGAGACGCTGTACAAAAAGGGATTATTTAGTAAAGCTACACTATTCGCCCAGAAATTTAACATATAATGTTAATAATCTCTGACTAGAAATTCAACGAACTTTTAAATTTTCGATAGATCACCTCGCCTAGAAATTCTACCTAGAATCAAATATGCTTCATGTATAAAACACAAAGAGAAATGTAAGGCGGGGTAACATCCATTCAACTTTTCGATGAAGTCTTGACCAATAAAAGGAGCATTAACGCTAAGTGGACGCCTCGACTACTTGGTCATAGTTCTGTTTGCCGCAGAAGTGAGGGCTGAAAAGAATACAGGCAATAGATAGCGAAAGCTATAACCATTTATAGAGTTAGAGATACACCAAAACTAGTTTTATTATTAACGTACATTCCACCTCAGTCAACTTTATTCTTCTTTCACTTTTTTCTTGTCCCCATTGTAAAAATACACATTCGCTTATATTACAATTTCAAATATCGCTGATTAATGTTAATCGTGAGTTTGCTATATGTACGATTTTCAAGGTTAGGCGTGTTATTTTTCATTGTCGATACGTTCATCTGAAATGTTTTACCGATTGAATTATTAAAAAAAATCATATTACAGTTACATAACCTCGTGTTAAAATTGTACTGTTCGCGGGCGGTTTGAATCCTTTGCTAGAATTGAGCGAAAACCCGGTCGAGCGAGATGGAGATGCCAAGGGGAAGTTTTAGGGTGTGCGGTAGAGAGGGGCTATATGCCGGAGGTTTGGCTGGCAGCGGGGATTCATTATGTGACAGTCTATTGTCATTCCTACGAGCTGAGATCTCGCTGGTCCAGGATCACATCTCGCGCTTCACGCGTCACGATATCTCTTTCGATTTTTTTGTAGTTATGCGTTTGAAAATTCATATTTACATTTTTCTTATTTTTTCCACGAACCTTCTCGTTTTCACAATCGTATCAACTGCCCTGTACACGTTGACTCTATACTTTTGGAACTTTCCATTCGTTTAACGATACTGACGCTATATTTTGGATCAGAAAATACGGGCGACTGTAAAATTAACTATTGGAATCGAAGCGCTTAATAAATTTATTTTTAGGTACCTATTTCTTAATATATACCTACGATCAGATATATTTTTATTAAAGAATTGCACCCTTTATATTTTCAAATATCTGTTCACTCAGGCACTTTAACAATAATTAATGTCATCAGAACGTATATCGTGAAAGAAAAGTTTCAGAACCCTATTACTATTTTATGAATTTTTAAACGACAACCGGATACAGCTTAATTGACGTACCGCTTGCTGTGAATTCAAGGATTCTGATCCTCTTTGTTTGAAATGCAGACAGTACGTGTGCTTTAGGTACTAAAAGGCAGACCGGTTCGAATTTGAATTTCAAACGTGAATTACAGGTTAGGAAAAGAAGAGGACGCTTCGTTCTCCTATCGCGTGAAACTTTTAATAATTTCTTTGAGTATACTTTCACTTCACGAGTCTAAGACCTTTTTTTTCCAACATTCTGACGTCTGACTTAATAACTTTAACGCGACGTCGCATATATGCTGTATTAATACATAAAAAGAGAGACGAAGAAGAAAAAGCGAATATGAATGCCAAGATGGCGAACGGTAAATGGAATTCAAACATTAGGCAGGAAAATTAAGAGCTGAGAACAAGAAACAATCGTTTCTTGTTATTACGCGATTATTCATCTCTATCGTACTTTGAATCATTAACGTCACTGTAGGCGGTAGTTATTCTACGTACATATAGTAATACTCATATACACGCTCCAGCATAATCTCAGAATCTGTTATCAGTCTCAAGAGAAACTCTCAAGTTTCCGTAGATGATCCATTAAGATTCATGAAACGAATATCGCCTCGAGTACTGTCATCGCTATCATCAAATTAAAAAACGACAATTCACAGATTTATCAATCGATCAGCAGTGACTTGAGATAATCATAACCTCGAAAAAAAGTTCCACCAACTGTCATGCGAAAAGAAAAAAATATTGGGATATTGAAAAAAATACAAGAGAAAGAAAAGGTATTATTATTTTTCATGTAAAATCATACATACAGTATCCAGTTCATGGTGTCAGTCGTATAATAAACGTTTATTACCTAATGGTAAATTCTTGACTCAGGTCGTGCACGATGAGGGTGACAAGAGCCAAAAGATTCGTACAGACCTGCACGTAGATTGCGCCACGAATACATAACCTATACCGACGCTATACGTGTCTACGTGCGAGGCGATTAAAGTTTTAGAAGTATCGATTCTCCGCGTTAACGTTGACAGACAGAGGGATCGTCAAAGAGCATAATAATTACTGCGCCCGCAGAGAAGAGGCTCAACCCTTTGTTCTATAGTCACTTTGGGAAAGGGGTTTGGAGAGAGGAGAGCGACGGGACTCGAGAGCATCCGTTTCAGCCACGCTATTATGTAATTGATCTGAGCTTTCCATTGCGATCATCCTGCAACCCACTCCGGTGTTTTCAATCTTGAAAAAGTTTAATCAGTCTTAAAAATTCATAAAATTAATGATAATTATCGTCGAGTCGATACGCGAGGTGTAATAACGTGAACGTAAGTATACCTAACCTCAAATATACACAAGTTTTTATTGACGATCAATTCGAATTACGACACGACGTATCTCTCGTTCGAAGTACCGTTTGATTGGACGTTATAAAAGTTTTACAAATATTCCCGCCGTTACACGTCACGGTCAACATTAGTCGTTACTCGTGAGCAATTTTCAAGATAATCAAAAGCGTATTATCCACATTGATTTCGTTTCGCTGAGATATTTAATTAAAGTTGTTTGCGCCCGGAACTTTGAAAACTTTGTAGATAACTTACAGTGCCGTTTAATTCTCGCGAATAACGTGCGCGAATGCGAAAACAGGTTATGGCTGTGTCGCATTGCTGCCGTTATTGGTCTTTGCCGGTGTCGCTCGTAGCCAACGTATATTAATTGGCGTCGTCGTGTCTGCTTTACGAAATTTATGGAGTTTTAATTAATGCATGCATATCGAAGTAATATAGAATATCGAAAATATCGTATTGTACGAAGTAACAGATTGAGAAACGACAAGGCCAAGTGGTACCATAAATGTATTCGTGGCAAAGGCGACTCCCGGTCAGGACCCGCGTTATCCTCTGACCCCACTCCGTCATCTCTAACTTCGACTATACCTGAGTGGGACTTTTTCCAACTTGATTTTCCCATTTTTGGAATGGGACGAAGGGAAAGGGAAAAAACAGAGAAAATTTTAGTATTCACAATCCTACACGTACAGTACAGTCTCGGCAGGACGTATCGAATCGAATGTTCGTACCGAATACGAAATTTTTTGTATGCAGTGATGAAGCATAGCAATAGTATTACTAATCGGACAGTACTAACTTAAATAACATATACACATTCATATGTATAATTATAAGCTCGTACAGTCCGTTACAAATTTCCGTCTTATCCTTACTATAGCTATTGCCAATAACTCAGATTCGATCAAAAGAACTGACGAAAGTATATTACAAAAATTTTTCTTTTCATCTCCTATACTTTTATCAATATATATTTGTTTCACCTGACTATAAATTTTTCCATAGTAAATTCAAGGCTGTAAATACCTTTTTTCGGAAACGGACTCTACTCGTCAATTGTACTCTGTGATATTGAATATCCTTCGATACGCTTCGCTTATCCTCGCATTGCGTTTGCACAGATGTCTACGACACTGAAGGATCCGTCCCGTTTCCCTCGAGTCTCCCGTGTACAAAGCGATAGCATTGAGACACGGTATATTCGTCTCGTGCACTGCATATAGCCATAGCGCATGTGTCTCTTTTGAAATCGAACAAAAGATACTACACACCGACTGTAATCATGGGTATGGTAAATTGCTGTCGAAAAAGGGAAAAAAAAAAAAAAAAAAAAAAAAAAAAAAAAAAAAAAAAAAAAAAAAAAAAAAAAAAAAATAAAAATAAATAAAAGAGACGAATGGAAACGACAAGGGTCGTCGAAATAACTGAACGATGCCGCATCGCACGCGAAATAGATGCGCACTACTTTTTAAATTTGGGGAAAATGTGACGAAAACAAAAAAAAATGAAGACGTTCCATTAGAGCGTTCCAGTTTCGCGAGCAGGGCGCGGAGAGGAGCGAGATTGAAAGTGCTCTTTAACGATTGCGAAATCTTACCCCGTATCAATTCTCCTGGATACCCTAAGGGAGTTATCACGCGTGACGTAATTTTTTATGCGTATACGCAAAACCATGGACTGACGAGTGGGGATGAAACGATACAAAATATGTCGAAAGTATCTCTTACTTGGTTGAACGTACCCCAGATGGTAAGGGTGACGATCGCCTTCGAAACAGCCTGTATAATATATATCTGTGTACTGTCGAGTATTGGAGGTATATCCGGATGCGATATATATATATATATATATATATATATATATATATATATATATATATA